GCGTCTGCTTGCTGTCTATCAGGTCGAGGGTCCCCCCTCCACGAGAGTCCATGTGAATGGAAATGGTGGTGATGCACATATTTATCGGTGAAATAAATATATATTTGAATTGTGATTCTATTCATACATGCTTTCAGAGTTCTGTCCCATACGAGGATTCCAAAAAAGGAACCATCGTCCGCCGAACATGAGTCACTGTTTATAATTTACTAGGACAAGCCTCAGAGCTGATTTTGCATTGATAGGCATAATAGGCTCAAGCCTAAAGTTTATTGGTTTGGTGTTGACTAAAAACTCATCAAACTCTGGAGGGTTATTAGGGCCACCATAATAACCTATTGACTAACCAGCAAGAATATTTTAATCCTGATCTCAGTCCGGAACTACAGTTAAAGCGAAATGTTTACACTGAAACAATGAAATTGTTTTTTAGAGAGGGTATACCAGTTTACTTACTCAAGTGAAGGATGTCACCTTTCATGTACCGATATTGGTATGACCACCACAAAGCTTTCGAGGAGACTGACTTGTCATCTAGTAGCTTGTGCCCCCAGAAATCATATTCATAGTGAGGATAACAAGACACTCACCAGGAACATGACAGTAAATAATACAAAAATAAAAAATCCTGGAATCTACCACCAAGTTCAAGTATGTTTATTGAGACAAGAAAAAAACATAAAGAATACCGACTTCGTTTCCTTGCCAAACCTGTGCCCAGATCTCGCCAAACCTCACGAGATAACGAGGTCTCTAGCGAGGTTTCCACGCCCATCAGAATTTTACCCAATGTTTGATTCCCTCCACCCTACCTTTCCCTATGTTAATTGACCCTATTTCCTGACCCTAGGTTCGATTGCTTCTTCACCTCACCCATCACTCATTCGACTCTCACATGAACATTTAATAAAAAAAATACACATGATGTATTCATTCTTTACATTCCTTCTAGGTCAGCCATCAACTAGTTTTTTTTCTTGGAACACGACTCTCCAATCGGTTAACAACCAGGTACCCACGAGGGACTTAGGGACTTACTTGCCACCATCTGCCACACAACGTTGAGGACCGAGATGTTGATGGACGGGGGGAAGGGTGTGGGCACTCCAGTATTTTTCTTCATTTCCTCCACCAACATGTTGGCCTCCTGCTGGATGGCGTCCTCCAGGAAGGTCTTGCCCATGCCCAGGTCCCGCAGGTTACGCAATAAGAACCTACGAGCGTTCTGCCACCTCTCCCCATTGGTCATGATCACTCCTGCAAGGTGCAAGTAAGCTATATATCTTCCGAAGAATGTTAAAAAATAATTGTGCTCATGTTAAAATATCAATCGTGAAAATTATTGTTACTTGCCTGCCTCCTTTCCGTCAGTCATTATGTTAGCCAGGGGAAGGTCAGGGCGGTCGGCCAACTCCTGCTTGCTAAAGGCCTCTTTGATGAGCTGGTAGTTACACAGGTATATCAACTTGGTCGATCTCAGTTCAGTCCTGTTGTGGGTGTAGAAATTTAAAGCAACACATAAATCTATTGATGACCCATGTTCGTGAGTCACGTTATAACATTGGCCAAATGTTTATTATTAATCCAGTAGCCGCCGCCCCCTAACCTCCCTAACCTGTTGATGAAATATAATGCTTTAAACATGACATCAACCCATTCAGTAATTATGCTTGCCCATGATACGACCGTCACAAAAGGCACGAAAGTAAATATTTCTATACTGTGTAATAAAAGTTTCTTCAAATATAATGAGTAAATTAAATTTCCTAAAATATAAATTATAATATACCTACGTTAGGTTAGGTGTTTCAAATTCTCTTGGCAATTATTTATAATTTCAACGGCTGCTAAATTAACCGTAGAAATCCGTCTCTTACCTGTAGATATCCCCATACTTTTTCCTGTATTCCTTCACCTGTGAGATTTGGAAAGTGGGTATGTTTCCGAGGAACGGAATCACCAGAGGACCTGTGAGGCGATAGTTTACAGTCAGTGTGGAATGAACACATCCAAAGATGTACCTAATATTAGGTTTTCTTAACATAAAGTTGAGCAGACATGTAAATTACATTTATTGTGACTCCGTATGAAGTGACACATGATGTAACTCAGCCAAGCAATCAAAATATCAAGTTAATATATAAGAAACAGGAAGTTTATAAGGTTTATTAAAGAGTTATCCCGCTGGGGACCTTGTGCATGGTGGGCATCGCATCAAGCGTCACTGTGCCGCTCATAACCTGAGTGTTCTCATCTCTTGGTAATTTGAGTGAGACTACCGGGAGGAAGGTAAAGGATGAGAGCATCCTAGGGAGCTGAATGATCCCCTGGGGTACTGCACATGGTGACCATGTGGTACAGCACTAGGTGACTCGTGGGGTTCAGTACCTGGTAACCCCTGGGGTACTTGGTGACCCCTTGGGGTCCAGAGTACGGTGACCCCTGGGGAAGGGCACCAAGACTCACCTGGGGGCATGCCCTTGGGCCTGAGGAACCAGTACCGCAGCAGCACCACCAACACCACAAACAGCACCACCTCCAACCACATGATGACGTGAAGCTGTTGCTGTTGGGAGTTACCGTCGCCTGCGGCAAGTTACCGTCGCCTGCGGCAAGTAACCGTCCCTTGCGGGTTACCCGTGATGCTCAGCTGTCACTGCTGGAAATTGCCCTGAAAAATAAGATCACAAATCAATGCTTCGTAAGATTAGATCATTCGGCAGATACCAGACAACATCGAGGAAAAGGAAGATCGGGAAGTTGTCACCTTCCCTTAAAGAGAGGCCGGGAAGTGAGATAATATAAGCTTGGCACATGACAGATGTTTACATCTGTCTACATATTTATATATATATATATATATATATATATATATATATATATATATATATATATATATATATATATATATATATATATATATATATATATATATGAGAGATGTATGCAAATGAGTAATTGATGATAACTTTGGAACAAGTTACACTGGACGCCCGAATCTTGGCTCCTTGCGAGTTCTTCACAAGAAACACTTGGCGAATCTTCACAAAGAAAATTTGATGATGAGTCTTCACAAGGAAAACTTGATGAAGAATGTGCAGTAAATGTGAGACGCTGAACTTGAGGAAACCTTTGGCGTTTCGTAGGATGCGAGCGACAAGGAAAGTGTATAGGAAAAGAAAAAGTAATTCAACTTGAACAAAGTGAAGAAGGGAAACTGAAATTTACAATAATATTAATAATTAAAGAAATATGACAATATTAGATCGGCAGAAAAATACTGACTGAGGATTAGCAACAAAATAAAAGTCATCATTTTGAAAAACTGTGAAATATTTTTATATAAAGAAGTAGGTAAAGTAAAGTTAAAATATCTACTTAAGATGATCATGTAATAAGGTTAAGTGATGGAATAAATTACAAGAATAAGAAGATAATAATTTGAAAGATAGGTGTTATTGATGAATAATATATAAAAACATTATTGATTATTATTGTGTGATCTGAGTTAATGACAATATTCTTGCTGATATACGGAAGAGTTCGTGACAATATTCTCATCTCCACAGGCGTAAGAGGCTATAGGTAGTGTGTATTGATGCAGATACAGACGTGTATTGTTGGTACAGCATGTGAAGACACAAATGAGAGGAGAGAGAGAGAGAGAGAGGTGAAGATGAATAATCATATTAAGATAAAAAAACGTAACAAGCGATAAGAACCTATCCTCTCAACCACTGGTTGAATAAGCTGACTAATGCTCAATAAACAGTTGGATAAGCTGATCAAGACTCACGTTGGCAGAGGAAGACACTGATGGGCTCGGCACACGTCTACACAACAGTATAACGCCCCAGACACTGCCCACCGGGAGAGGGAACTGACAGACAACTCTATGCACTAACTTATAACATGTCCTTGAGGCACACTTGTCAGCTCTCGCCAGAGGGAGTGTTAGTGGAGTGAACTTTATCTCCTAATATACGAGTCACAGTAAACACTAACCTGTTCACTGTTCACATATTTTTCGTATCTTTGGACAATGAGATATCAGTTAAGAGTGGGGATGGGAAGAGTGTCCTCGTTGGTTCGTGTTCTCATTAGTTCATATCCTCGTTACATAGTTTTCTCATTGGATTGTGTCCAGGCTGGTTCGTGTCCTCGTTGGTTCGTATCAGCTCTGGTAACGGTCTAGTTGGTTGTAGATATTATCTTATTTTAATTAGAGTTTTGTTAATGCGTTATCAGACACCTTGAAAAAGATATTGTCTTGCCTATATATTTAGAGAATTATATTTCAGTCCCTAAGTATCCATGGGTGACAAATGATGTCCCCATAGACAGCATTTGTCTCATTCAAGGCATTCCGTTTCATTTTCGGGAGAATTCTTCATGCACACAGCAAAAAAATTATCCTTAGATCTATTAGATCCGGCAGTGTCGGCTCTAATAGGGTTTAACTTTTTCAACAGTGGATCAGGATAGACAGCAAATTAAAAATACCCAAAGCCAACTCTTTTTTTAATCCCCCGTTTCGAGTGAGAAATGTTCGGGTACATAATATTGCTTCACCGCTACTTTACAGACCTGATCAAATATATGCAGGTATCTATTGATTACAAAATAAACATTTCTATAAATTTTCTATAAAAAACTTAGCAAGTATTTCTGTCTTGAAATTCTCAAAATAAAAAGTTTGGCGTGTTCAATTTTGTCAAATACTATGAAAGCCTCAAGAAATAGGGACCAGAAAAAAATTGTCGCGCGGATTATAGTTCTGAATAGTTCCCACACCACGAGACTGCATATTGGAACAGTGTCCAGTTGTGTCTGCAGGTTGAAAGATAAGTTTCCAAAACTAAATTCTTATTATAAACAGTGTTGTCTTTAATGCATAATTTGTAAACGTATTTACAAGTTATTTATTTTGTATTTGTTTTTAGATTATTATCATTTTTACACTTGTGTTCCACTGGGGTATAGTTAATTAAAGGAAATTCATTTCTATATTTATTTTTGTACATAAATTCATCAAAATACTCCTGACAATCTGGAATATTTCGAGGCTATTATTTTTAGCCCTTCATCAACCTATAGGTAAATATAGTTACATATATATGAGTATGTGTACAAGTCTGTGTTCACATGATTATATGTATAGTGAAAGTAAGCACATATAGTGAGTGAGCGTGCGTGTGTGTGTGTGTGTGTGTGTGTGTGTCTTTACATCATCAGTTTCTAAGAGTATCTACCACACCAAGGTGCATTAAGTGTAACAAAGAGTAGAGAATGTTTCGTCCACCTCCTTCAAACTCTCACTACTTCCTGGCAGTGATGACAATATTCTGTTCCTTGGCCAGCTGTATACCGAGCATCCTGTAGTCGGGTTCAAGGTCGACCTCACAACCCTCTGGGGCGGAGAGGGAGAAGTTCTGGAGGATGGCGGCAGTGAAGATGTACAGCTCCATCCTGGCCAGCGCCTCCCCCAGGCAGCTCCTTCGACCTGGGCCAGATCACATCTTAGTAAACACCTTACTACACATCTCTTAATATAAATCCTCTAGTACACACTCCTAGTACAATGGATCATGATCTCAGGTTAAGACGAAGAGCAGCCCTCTTATGTCTTGCTAATATATTAAATCTGAGAAGGATTTAACAAAAGGCTTCAAGAAATGGTGAAGACCAAGCCAAAGGAAAGCCCCGAAGCCCTGACATCACTTGAGCAGAGGAAAGATTGACCAATATACTGGTATCTGAGAAGGTCAAGAGTCTCTTGAATAAATTGGACGTAAGAAAGGCTGTAACAAAGCTAAAGAAGCTTGTATTTTATGTTTAGAACATTTACTGACAACAATAGAGCATTTCTGAAGAACAATCACGACTTTGAGGGTGTAAAATTGGCGCAAAAGCATCACTATTGTGGGTGGAGGGGGAGGGTCCAAACATATTTTTGAGAACTTATAATTACTTAATCACTAAAACACCTGCATTGTTGGGCTTAAACATATGCTAGCCAAACAAGGCTAATGGAACACTAACCTAAGCTAAAGGGCAAGAAGCCCTCCTTCTGGCCTGAGAAGTTTCCCTCAGCGTCTAAGAACCGGTCGATGTTGAACTGGTCGGGTTGCTTCCAGTACTGTGGGTCATCGTGACAACACACAGTACACCCGAACACCCAACTTCCCTGTAGAGGACGCAACACAACGCTCTCAGTGTTTCAGTAGCTACTGATGCAAGAAAACATATGAGAAACACAGAACATTACTTGGGGTGAGTGACTAAGTGAATAAGCATGGGAGTGAGTGACTTTACCTTCGGGATGAAGTAGCCTCCCAGCTGTACATCAGAGCTGTTTGAGTGCAAGACGCCCATAGCAATTAACGACGCCTTACGAAGCACCTCGTGAATCATCGCCTCAACCAAAGGCAGCCTGAAATATACAGCATTCATGTGAGTCCTTCGAGTGTGAATGAAAGATTTATCTAAGATGAATCAAAATTAGGATCACTATATTTTGTGTTATCAAGTGAAATTAATATTCACACACACACACACACACACACACACACACACACACACACACACACACACACACACACACACACATACATGAGACGTTTGGAAGAACTTTTTCAGTGTCAGAGTAGTTAACAGATGGTATGCATTAGGCAGTGATATGTGTGAAGCGGTTCATGACCCGCTTCAGCGAGGCCTGTCAGGCTTTCGGACTCACCATCAGCCTGAAGAAAACACAGGTCATGGGACAACGAGTGGACTCCCCACCTGACATCGGCATCTCCGATTACGAACTGGAAGTCGTTCACGACTACGTGTACCTGGGCTCCACAATCTCTGACTCCCTCTCTTTTGACACGGAGCTAAACAAACGCATCGGTAAGGCATCTACCACCATGTCCAGACTGACAAAGAGAGTGTGGGCTAACAATAGGCTGACTGAGTATACAAAGATCCAGGTTTACAGAGCCTGTGTCCTGAGCACTCTCCTATATGGCAGCGAGTCTTGGACACTCCGCGTCCGTCAGGAAAGACAACTGAACGCCTACCACGTGCGCTGCCTCCGACACATCCTGGACATCACCTGGCAGAAGAAGGTGACAAACAACAGCGTCCTGGGAAGAGCTAGAATCACCAGCATGTACACAATGCTGAAGCAGAGATGAATACGCTGGCTCGGGCACGTGGTGTGAATGGGCGACGGCAGGATTCCCAAGGATCTCCTGTATGGAGAGCTGACGCAGGGAAAGCGTCCAACAGGCAAACCCCAGCTTCGATACAAATAGTACCGTAGCTGGGTGTGCTACAAAGACGTATGCAAGAGAGGCCTGAAAGCCATGGACGTCGATCTTGCTACTTGGGAAACATTGGCCGCAGACCGTTCAGCCTGGGGGCAGTCTGTTCAGAGAGGTCTCTCCAAGTTCGAGGATTCACTTGCCAAGAAATCGGAGGCAAAGAGACAAAGAAGGATAGCCGGTAGCCAGGAAGACAGACCAGAATCGGACTTCGCTTGTGGTCAGTGCGGGATGGACTGCCACTCTCGGGTCGGCCTCATCAGTCACACCAGACGATGCACCAGGATTGACAACCAGAGCGCAACTCCTTAGTCTCCCGAGACTGAAGGATGCCTACTACTACAGGTGGAGGCCGACTCTATACACAGTTTCAAATGAAGATATGGCACAGCCCAGTAGGCTCAGGAAGGAGACCCTCTAGGAAGACCTCAGCTGCGTTTCAAAGACGCCTGCAACCGCGACCTCAAGCAGATGAACATGAACATCAACACTTGGGAGGCAGCAGCTGCGGACAGATCTGCCTGGAGATGCAAAGTGCAGAAGGGACTCCAGCAATTCGAGGATGAACTGAAGAAGCAGGCGGACGATAATAGAATTCAGAGAAGGTCTCGACCACTATCAGACGCACCCGCTTCGGCGTTTATCTGCGCTCGCTGCAGTCGGGACTGTCATTCTTAGGTTGGCCTTCACAACCACAGCAGACGTTGCATCCAACTAGACTACAACAATTAGACACCTAGGCCCAACTCCAGAACCCCTCGGGATTGACGGATGCCTACTACTATGTTGGTAGGACGGCAAGGTGTCTCGCGGGACGTATCTCGACTTGCGTTGGTAGGGAGGCAAGGTGTCTCACGGGACGTACCTGGACTTGTGTTGGTAGGACGGCAAGGTGTCTCGCGGGACGACGTCGTCTATCTGCTGTTGCACGCGTCGCTGGACGTCGGGGTACTTAATCATGTACAGGATCATCCACCGGAGCATGTTGGATGTTGTGTCGAAACCAGCCGAAAAGATGTCAAAGGCTGTCCTCAGCAGGTCCAGTTCTACGAGAGAATATGAAGTATATTACACCTATGTTTTGAGTGTGTGAGTGTGCGTGTAAGGGAGAGAGCATACACAATAAAATATTATTGGCATATTCTCTCGCAATAATGGTGAAACAAACAATACAAATCTCAGGAAAGTAGAAACTTAACTGTTGACTGTTCAACCGCAGTAACTGCGCTCCAGCTTGACTCACCGCTGAAGAACTCGGCGATGTCAGCTTTGGAGTCCATGGCCACCAGGTACTGGTCCACGACGTCCCGAGGGTTGGCTGGGTCGAGCTTGGCCCGATGCTCCGCCACCACCTCCTGCAGAGAGGTAACATGTACATGTATATATGGATGGCCCCTGAGCAAGACAATGCCACAAAAATATACACGTCATCCACCTGTGCTCCACGTATGGTCAGAATGACCAATCCACGAGAATGAAAAGCTTATTTTTATATTAACTATAGTCGCTCTGTATGAATTGCATAATACCTGAATAAAGATGCACTTAAATTAACTTCACTCCTCTCGACTAAAGTATTTAGGGAACCAATAACAGCTAACATAACAGACGTGGGATCGCCGAACTGTTTCAAGGGAAGAATAGCTTTTCCGCTCTGGTTTTAAAGTTCATTGACTTTCTTGTTCAGGGAAGTCTGTTCACGAATATCTGTATAACGGTGACTCAGAGTTACAGCCCACGCAATAACCCTGCAGACACCTAAGACAGTACTTACACAACAGCCGTCAAACACTTAAGGTTTAGTTCACACACCTTGAAGGTATAGCTTACATAACAGCCATGCAGAATCAGTTACAGCCCCGCTCCTGTGCCGGGTAAGTCCACTACGGGTTCACCACAGCCCGTGCTACTCGGAACTTTTTATTCTGAGTAACTGAATCTAAAACAACAACAAGAGCTCTAATTATACCACACTCTACTTACCGCCATCATTTCTTTGGCCTGCATTATGACAATCTCGAACGTCTCCTCTTCAAGAAGTCTTCGTCGTATAAACATCGGGATGAGATTCTTCACCTTCGGGAAGAGCTCGAACACAACCAGCAAGGTAGATGGATCAAAAGATCTCATCAATTTTATGAAACTCATGATTCCCTCATCACCTGGGACGTAGCGCTTACCTGTTGATAGTTTTTTAGTTACTGATGACACCCGCAAAATTGTTATGTATTAGCAAATGTTGAGGTTATGGAGTGGAATGGAACTCGTATCTCTAGACGCGGAAGAAAACACGCACTATTCCATGATGTGGATAAAAACATCACAATCAGAACCTCTTCTGTCCTTACGTTCCCCGACCTGCTAGGTAGCAGGCAACCCCTCTACCACTGGACCACCACTGGCGTCTGCTTGCTGTCTATCAGGTCGAGGGTCCCCCCTCCACGAGAGTCCATGTGAGTGGAAATGGTGGTGATACACATATTTATCGGTGCAATTAATATGTATTTGAATTGTGAATCTATTCATACATGCTTTCAGGATTCTATCCCATACGAGGAATCCAAAAAAGGAACTATCGTCCGCCGAACAGGTGTCACTGTTTATAATCTACTAAGACAAGCCTTCATAGTTTGTTGGTTTACGCCTAAAGTTTGTTGGTTTGGTGTTGACTAAAGACCCATCAAACTCTGGAGGGTTATTAGGGCCACCCTAATAACTTATTGACTAACCAGCAAGTATACTTTATTCCTGATTTCAGTCCAGAACTACAGTTAAATCGATATGTTTACACTGAAACAATGAAATTGTTTTTTAGAGAGGGTATACCAGTTTACTTACTCAAGTGAAGGATGTCACCTTTCATGTACCGATATTGGTATGACCACCACAAAGCTTTCGAGGAGACTGACTTGTTATTTAGTAGCTTGTGCCCCCAGAAATCATATTCATAGTGAGGATAACAAGACACTCGCCAGGAATATAACAGTAAATAATACTGTCCAATTGGTTAACAACAACGTACCCACGAGGAACTTACTTGATATCATCTGCCACACGACGTTGAGGACCGCGATGTTTATGGACGGGGGGAAGGGTGTGGGTACTCCAGTATCTTTCTTCATTTCCTCCACCAACATGTTGGCCTCCTGCTGGATGGCGTCCTCCAGGTAGGTCTTGCCCATGCCCAGGTCCCGCAGGTTACGCAATAAGAACCTACGAGCGTTCTGCCACCTCTCCCCATTGGTCATGATCACTCCTGCAAGGTACAAGTAAGCTATATATCTTCCAAAGAATGCTAAAAAATAATTGTTTGTGCTCATGTTGAAATATTAATCGTGAAAATTATTGTTACTTGCCTGCCTCCTTTCCGTCAGTCATCATGTTAACAAAGGGAAGGTCAGGGCGGTCGGCCAACTCCTGCTTGTTAAAGGCCTCTTTGATGAGCTGGTAGTTACACATGAATATCAACTTGGTCGACCCCAGTTCAGTCCTGTTGTGGGTGTAGAAATTTGAAGCAACACATAAATCTATTGATGACCCATGTTCGTGAGTCACGTTATAACATTGGCCAAATGTTTATTATTAATCCGGTAGCCGCCGCCCCCTAACCTCCCCAGCCAGTTTATGAAATATAATGCTTTAAACATGACATCAACCCATTCAGTAATTATGCTTGCCTGTGATACGACTGTCACAAAAGGCACGTAAGTAAATATTTCTTTACGGTGTAATAAATGTTTCTTCAAATATAATGAGTAAATTATATTTCCTCAAAAATAAGTTATAATATACCTACGTTAGGTTAGGTGTTTCAAATTCTCTTGGCAATTATTTATATTTACAGCGGCTGCTAAATTAACGAGTATTTGGTAATTGTTTGTGAGGACGGGTTGGTTTATGAGGACAAGTAGTATGGCTCACAACTGATTTCGTTCAAACTCTTTTTGGAGAGTGCTGCACTCACTTGCTATATTCAAAGTGCATCTCTCAAATCAAATCTAAGCATTATTATACATATTATAATTTAGTGTATAGTTAGACCTACGTTACATTATGTGTTCTGGTTCTGCTGTCAATTATTTATATTTAAAGTACGTGGGTGAAACATTTAGAGAGATGCATTACAAACAGAAAGTGAGCGAAGTATTGTCTGAGAAAAGTTTGAAGGGAATCACTCAAGTGTGCATATAGACATCACCTTTAGATATCACTACACTGAGAACTTAATGGAAGTAACCGTAGAAATCCGTCTCTTACCTGTAGATATCCCCATACTTTTTCTTGTATTCCTTCACCTGTGAGATTTGGAAAGTGGGTATGTTTCCGAGGAACGGAATCACCAGAGGACCTGTGAGGCGATAGTTTACAGTCAGTTAGAATAAACTCATCCAAAGATGTACCTAATATTAGGTTTTCTTAACATAAAGTTGAGCAGAAATGTAAATTACATCTATTGTGACTCTGTATGAAGTGACACATGAAGTAACTCAGCCAAGCAATCAAAATAACAAGTTAATATATAAGAAACAGAAGGTTTATGAGGGTTATTAAGAGTTGTTCCCCGGGGGGACCTTGTGCATGGTGGGGATCACATCAAGCGTCACTGTTCCGCTCATAACTTGAGTGTTCTCATCTCTTGGTAATTTGAGCGAGACTACCGGAAGGAAGGTAAAGGATGGGAGCATCCTAGGGAGCTGAGTGATCCCCTGGGGTACAGCACCTGGTGACCCCTTGGGGTACAGCACATGGTGACCCTAGGGTACAGTACCTGTTAACCCCTGGGGTACTTGGTGACTCCTTGGGGTACAGGGTATGGTGACCCCTGGAGAAGGGCACCAAGACTCACCTGGGGGCATGCCTTTGGGCCTGAGGAACCAGTACCGCAGCAGCACCACCAGCACCACAAACAGCACCACCTCCAACCACATGATGACGTGAAGCTGTTGCTGTTGGGAGTTACCGTCGCCTGCGGCAAGTTACCGTCGCCTGCGGCAAGTTACCGTCGTCTGCGGCAAGTAAACGTCCCTTGCGGGTTACCCGGGATGCTCAGCTGTCACTGCTGAAATTTCCGTGAAAGATAAGTTTACATATCAGTGCTTTGTAAGATAAGATAAATCGGTAGATACCAAATACGACTGAAAGGCAAAGTAAAGGTCAATACCTCAGCGATCGGGAATTGACATAATAAACCATGGTAATGGGAGAAAGGATTGACTGATGAATACAAATGAAGAATTGATATTGACCTTGGAACAGTTGCTGAATCTTCACAAGGAACACTTAATAAATCTCTACACGAAACACGATGAATTTTTACGGGGAACAATTGATGAATTTCCACAAGGAACACAATGATTCTTCACAAGGAATACTTGATAACACTTCAGAAAACACTTGATAAAACGTTCAGAAAGACCACTTTTGAACACACTTTTTAATCCTCTGGATCACACTGCTGCTCCACTTTCCAGTGGTGCTGGTGTCTACAACATTTCCTGTCTTGTCCTCTCCAATATTTTAATGAAATTGGCCGTACAATGAACGATAGACTTAAGAAATACAAAACAAGTGTTAAATCTGCAGGCACCATACAATGCTCTCTTCTGCCATGTTAGGGGGGGGGAGTCTAATCATCTTTTAGATGGATTCTAAAATAATCTTTCCTGCCTCTGTGACGCCGTCATGTCTTATCGGCTCTGATACACAACATACCCAACATGAACCTTAGACCTGGCTTTGTTGCTGTTGACTCTTCTCTCCCTCAGTACATAGTCAAATTTTTCAACCATAACAAATGTGGTCTGACTTAGCTTTAGCCCCTCTAGGCTGCCTCTTTCCTCTCTGTCTCTTACGTTAATATAGTTTTCATCTTCGACCTTTGAAATCTTGCGGTTTTCGTTAATTTTCTTTATTTTTACTTTCTTGGTTTTTAACTTTTTTCTATTGCAGATGATGAGTCACAATAACGTGGCTGAAATATGTTGACCAGACCACACACTAGAAAGTGAAGGGACGACGACGTTTCGGTCCGTTCTGGACAATTCTCAAGTCGATTGAGATTTTCTATTCTTCCATTTTCCTTCTAATACTTCTCCCTTTTCCTTTACCTGATTCCTTATATTCTTACCGTCTTCTCTTATTCTTAGATTTCCCTTATTCTTTTCTTTCATTTTCTCCTACATTCCTCTCACCCTCTTACATTGTTTGTCTCTACAACTACCTTTCCCTTATACTAATTGACTATGACCCAAGACGGATCGATGCAGAGGAGGGGGGTTAGAGGCAAGAGGTCCCCCTCTAACACCCGTTGAAATGTCACTGACGGTAAGCTGTAGGTTGGTCTTGTTAATGATGCTCCTGTTTCCATACTGATATAATACGGTGGTGATGTCCTTAATGATGCTCCTGTTTCCATACTGATATAATACGGTGGTGATGTCCTTAATGATGCTCCTGTTTCCATACTGATATAATACGGTGGTGATGTCCTTAATGATATTCCTGTTTCCATACTGATATAATACGGTGGTGATGTCCTTAATGATGTTCCTGTTTCCATACTGATATAATACGGTGGTGATGTCCTTAATGATGCTCCTGTTTCCATACTGATATAATACGGTGGTGATGTCCTTAATGATGTTCCTGTTTCCATACTGATATAATACGGTGGTGATGTCCTTAATGATGCTCCTGTTTCCATACTGATATAATACGGTGGTGATGTCCTTAATGATGCTCCTGTTTCCATACTGATATAATACGGTGGTGATGTCCTTAATGATGCTCCTGTTTCCATACTGATATAATACGGTGGTGATGTCCTTAATGATGCTCCTGTTTCCATACTGATATAATACGGTGGTGATGTCCTTAATGATGCTCCTGTTTCCATACTGATATAATACGGTGGTGATGTCCTTAATGATGCTCCTGTTTCCATACTGATATAATACGGTGGTGATGTCCTTAATGATGCTCCTGTTTCCATACTGATATAATACGGTGGTGATGTCCTTAATGATGCTCCTGTTTCCATACTGATATAATACGGTGGTGATGTCCTTAATGATGCTCCTGTTTCCATACTGATATAATACAGTGGTCATGTCCTTCGATTGTCGTGGTGACGTCGCGTGTCGGCATTTTGACGGAGGCGCAGACCCAGGCGCCCGTGTCGGTAGTGGCGGTGGCGATGAAGAAGATAAGACATATATATATACAAGTGTTAGGTAGTACGAATTGAGTGTTAACTCACAGGGAGCACAGTAGAATGGTCTTGCGAAGCGGTGAGGGTGATGGCCTTGAATGTGGATGGGGGTGTGGCCTTGAATGTGGTGTTGTTGGTTCGCCCTGATGTCATGAAGGCTGCGCATGTAAACACAACCCCTTATTTTACATTTTCCGATACTTATCCCTGTTATTTCCAGGATGATGCCTTCAAGTCCCATAAAAGTTCTTAAATTGAGTAAGAATGAATTTCATAATGACTATAATAATGATACTGTTAATCGTCCTCGTAGTTCGGTGCTTATCACAATGCCTTGGTCAACATTTGACGGGAGACGTGCCCTTAAACAGAGGGAGGGAGAGGTAGAGAGAAAGAGGGAGAGAAAGGAAGAGAGAGAGAGGGAGGGAGAGAAAGAGAGAGACAGGATTACAGTAGCAGAAAGGGAGGGTGGGATGGGTTCCCTCTCCACCCACAAGGTCGAATCATTTAGTGTGACAATAAATGAAAGGGCTTGCAGCACAGTGGTCTACGTCATCATCTCACAATGGAAGGTCCCGAGTTGGGTGCCTCGGGCTAGTCATAAATGGTTAGGTACGTTTTCTTTCACCTGATGCCACTGGTCACCTAGTAGTAAACTGGTATCTGGGAGCTAGACAACTGTTGTGGGTTGCATCCTGGGGAAGGTCAGTAGTTGACCCCGGGGACCTCGACAGGCCTAAGTACAGGTTTCCTGTCCTCAAAGAAACGGTAATTATATCTCCGAAGGTCAGTGCATCTGACAAGCCATCTCTCTTCTTTACTATAAGACAAAGTTGCACCCTACACACACACACACACACCGCTCCTGTGCCAGGTAAGTCCACTACGGGCTCACCATAGCCCGTGCTACTTGGAACTTGTTCCGAGTAGCTGAATCTATACCAACACCAACAACTACACACACACACACGTGGGCATGCGCGAATATACATGTTTACATATATGAAACACATGGACCACCTGGATATATTGCAAACTAATTTAAATTGGCATCATTCCTTTCCCCCGTCATATACCAGCTGCTTGTCCTCGTACCCCCAGCTCCTTGTGTTCTTGGCCCTCCCAAGTGAAAGTAGTACTGGCTTAACGCTTTCTGCTCATAATTGCTATCTTTAGATTGAGAAATATTACACATGGGGGGGAGGCTGTAGTACGGGCACGATGGTTGGGGAAATGATATGTGGGGAAAGTGTGACAGAAGGGAATGAATAAAGACAAATAAGCTTGGCTCTGACGCAGGGAGAGAGAGAGAGAGAGAGAGAGAGAGAGAGAGAGAGAGAGAGAGAGAGAGAGAGAGAGAGAGAGAGAGAGAGAGAGAGAGATCAACATATACGAGAAGCAGAGCAGCAAGATGAAATGTTTATTTGGACAACCCTTGAGGTATAGTGATGACCCCCCCACCCCCACCCCCCCACCCCCCCACCCCCCATACATACTCACACACCTCTTTAGTGCTCCTGCCTCACCACCCACACTCCCCCCCCCACCCCCACATAAACGCAAACTGTGCACTACAGAACAGATGCAAAGATGAATTTCATAAATGAATATGGGTCACCGAATCAATTATTAGAACTTCAGGAATGTGTATATGAATCAAATGCACAAATTATAGCAATCGTTGAGACAAAACTATAAGCAATGATAAGCCATTCAATATTCCCAAACAGTTATCAGGTAATTAAGAAAGAGAATGAGTATAGTGAAGTAGGAGCCATAATATACACCCCATCAGCAAATAGTATGAGACCATTAAAAGAGTGAGTGAGAGTTACAAAACAAGTCTGTGTGTTATAAAATGCTAACACCAGTAGCACGTGATAAGATCAAATCTACTGATAGTTGGCAGCTTCATTCATAAAGAGATCAGTTTAGATATGATTTGTGAAGAGCAAAATAAGCACAGCAAAGAGAATTTGTTGATAAAGCATGTGAATAAACCAATGAGAGAGAGAGAGAGAGAGAGAGAGAGAGAGAGAGAGAGAGAGAGAGAGAGAGAGAGAGAGAGAGAGAGAGAGAGGGAGAGAGAGAGAGAGAGGAACATAACAACATAATTAGAATGCTAAGAACCTATCCTCTCTACCACTCGTTGAATAAGCTGATCAATGTTAAAAAACAGTTGAATCGTCTGGCCAAGACTCACGTTGGCAGAGGAGGACAATCCTGTACACACGTCCTCACACCAGGATAATGTACCAGACACTGCCCACGGAGAGACAGAGCTGAAACAGGACACCGTAGATATGTATAACATGTCCTCGAGGCACACTTGCCAGCTCTCGCCAGAGGAAATGTTAGAGGTTTGAACTTTATCAGCTGTTGTACGAGTTCTAAAAGAGTGATTAACGTCTTACAGTCAGCACAATATTAACAGGTCAGAGTGACTAGATGATTAAAAGGTAGTTATGACGATGTGAGAATCTTTTCATTGTGACTAAGCAGTCCTTAAGTTGCACACGCACAGTCAAACACACACACACATACGGGGCCTGGTAGCCTGGTGGAGGGGGCCTCGTAGCCTGGTGGATAGCGCGCAGGACTCGCAATTCTGTGAATTCTGTGGTGCGGGTTAGATTCCCGCACCAGGCACAAACAAATGGGCAAAGTTTCTTTCACCTTGAATGTCCCTGTTACCTAGCAGTAAATAGGTACCTGGGAGTTAGTCAGCTGTCACGATCTGCTTCCTGGGGGGGGGGGGGGTGTGGTGTGGGGGGAAAAAATAGTAGTTAGTAAACAGTTGATTGACAGTTGAGAGGCGGGCCGAAAAAGCAAAGCTCAACCCCCGCAAGCACAACTAGGGGAATACACACACACACACAGCCCTACCTGCCAACCTACCTACCTTTGAGCCTTTTCCAGTTTAGTCTTATGCTTGACTAGCATAGAGTCCATATCTATTCAAGCATAAGACAAACCTGGAAATGGTTCAAAGGTTTGCCACCAGACTAGTACCCGAACTGAGGGGTATGGGCAACGAGGAGAGACTACGGGAATTAACCCTCTCGTCGCTGGAAGACAGAAGAGTTACGGGGGACATGATCACTCACATACAAGATTCTCAAAGAAATTTATAGGAATTGCTTAGATTCAGCTACTCGGAACAATAGTTGCAAGTAGCACGGGCTATGGTGAGCCCGTAGTGGGATATAATCACTGCTGGGTAAGCACTGAGAAGTAAGTGCCCTGGCGAGAGGTGACATTCGTGCTAGGACATATTAAAATGGTACTAAATATTCTACAGTATTCTGATATATCACTAATCTTCTCCTGTGTGTATTTCAGTGGGTAAAATAAGAGAAAATGTAGAGAAGGAATATTTTTTGTCTTTATTTCAAGTCTGCATCTAGCTATATGATTACAAAATCTTTTATACATTAAATTTAAATGGTAAATATTATTTACCTTAACATATTATATTAACTATAAATAATGTAAAGTATTATTATATATCATCTGAGAGGATATATTTTAAACCAAATGTGGTTTGGGGTATTCATCCTTTCCAAATCTTTAACTTTATTTCAGCTGATAATCACTCTCATTTTTCATTTCATATTAAAATGTGCAATGAAAAACTTGTAATAAATGTACTCTGTACTATAATTGTACTAAATTTTCTTGTATTTCACATCAATATTGAACATTAAGGTCTTCATATAAGTCAATATAATGTCTTTATCACATAAAATGTTGACATTTTTCTTAATCTAGATTACAATTTCCATTTTATATACTACAAAAATAGAATGTATACATATTAGGCTCTGTTACATAGATCATACCTATTGCTCCTCCGAATTTTTTCTTCGTCAACTTATCATTGATGGGAAGAGTTTCATGCAGTACCAATATAAGAGTTCTCCTTCATGTGGATTCATGAACTACACGTGGATATTGGTCCATATTTCATACCAGTAAATAAGTGGGTATACCTCTGGTCCTCCTACTATTGCCATCTATCTATAAATATATACACTGTTCAGTCTTTAAAAATGGTTTACACACCTGTCAGAGAAAATGCACCGAAAGTGTAGTAATCTACCAGTGCTCACTTGCCAGTGACTATGAGAAAGTGAGGTCCAGTTTTTAATGCTTGCTAGCCGTGCTTGTTTCTGCTTGCTAGCCGTGCTTGCTTCTGCTTGCTAGCCCTGCTTGCTAGCCGTGCTTGCTTCTGCCTGCTAGCCGTGCTTGCTTCTGCCTGCTAGCCGTGCATGCTTCTGCCTGCTAGCCGTGCATGCTTCTGCTTGCTAGCCGTGCTTGCTTCTGCTTGCTAGCCGTGCTTGCTTCTGCTTACTAGCCGTGCTTGCTTCTGCTTGGTAGCCGTGCTTGCTTCTGCTTGCTAGCCGAGGCAGAAGAGAAGGAATGGTGGAATCTTTACCCACCTTGAGTCGCTTTACCATTTTTCTCTATTGTGACTCCTTTTATGATCTCAAAGTTCCGTGAACAAAGGCAAGAGTGAGAAGGGCAAGGATATCAACAAGGAATATACACACACAAAGGTGTACTTCGCTTCCCGGTTCATATTCAGTGAGAATTTATTTTTGTTCTGAATTATGTTCAAGATTAAAGTATACTTGTTGGTTGGTCAGTAAGCTCTTGTGGTGGCTTTAATAACCCTTTGATAGGCCTTAAGCCCAATACCAACCTAACAACCAGGGGCCAGATTCACGAAGCAGTTACGCAAGTACTTAGGAACGTGTGCATCTTTCCTCAATCTTTGACGGCTTTGGTTACATTTATTAAACAGTTTGCAAGCATGAAAACTTCCCAATCAACTGTTGTTATTGTTATAAACAGCCTCCTGGTGCTTCGGAGTTCATTAACTGTTTAATAATTGTAAACAAAGCCGCCAAAGATTGAGAAAAGATGTACAGATTCGCAAGTACTTGCGTAACTACTTCGTGAATCTGGCCCCAGGATTACAACGTCTAATTTATAAAAGTTTTTAAATTTTTTAGGAGCGAAAAGAAAACCGCCATAAATAAAAAAGATTTATTAATGTATTTTATCTTATTTTGCTAATTATTAATAGATGTTATAAAGGAGAAAGTCGTAAATTTCATTACATGTATAGTTTACTAAACTATAATGTTACAAAATAAACAAATTTGGCGAATCTAGGAAATGGCCCGTTTTCTAAGAACATTTCAAAGAATGTTTCTAAGACTACTCTCTAGTTACAAGGTGACACATCAATCCACTTTTTACACGTAGGACCAATGATGCTGTCGCTCACTACTTCCTCAGGGTGATGACAATATTCTGCTCCTTGGCTTGTCTTATCGGTGGTATCTTGTTGTCGTGCTCAAGGTCGACCTCACAGCCCTCGGGGGCGGAGAAGGAGAAGTTCTGGAGGATGGCGGCAGTGAAAATATACAACTCCATCCTGGCCAGCGCCTCCCCCAAGCAGCTCCTCCGACCTGGGAGCAGATCATATCTTAGTACACACCTCTTAGTACACTTACATCTGAACACAGGCATCTAAGTACACTATATTTGGCATGAACAGCAGCAGACATGCTAGTAATGGAAGGTATTATTTTTTTATAGTTGTGATTTTATTCTTTTATATTTACTCTTTCAGTTCATCTCGTCTGTTGTAAAGATCAATTAATATAAATGAGATAAATTTAATTGTCTAAATCAGCCCTAAAGGTAGATTAGGTAAAGGTAAATTATGAGGAGAAAGATCTAAGCCATTATGATCATATATCACTTGGAAGGAATGTGAGGACAAGGATTTAGGACAGAACGGAGGAACGGAATGTTGCCCAACAACTTGGAAATCATTCCTAATGCAACATTATGTTTGGCTAAACAGTTTTCGATTTACTGGCTGTTGGTTGACGACTTTGACAATCGAAGAGTTTGCTGCAATATGAATAATATCAGAGCATCTAGACATGTCCATACAGGATACAAAATATTTATGAATTTTTAATTACATAAAATCTATCATTATATATATCAATATATGTTCATAAAATGAATCCAACAGAAGACTGAAAGTTCCGATTACCCTGTCTTCAAATGCATACGATACGTAGTAACTTTCACTGTTAATAGTAACGAAGGTTTATCATGAACAAATCCACAAGGGCCTTGACGAGGGTTCGAACCTACGTCCGAAAGACTCCCAGATGCTTAAATCCTTGTGGATCTGTTCATTTGATGCATCACGCTATTGTGATTTCTGTGTGTGTTGTGAAGGTTTATCATCTTAGGCAGTTACATGTATCTAGTCAAGGGAATTAAGACGAGCGAGCCACCTACCAACGCCAAAAGGCAAGAAGCCCTCTTTTTGGGGAGCGAAGTTTCCTTCGGCGTCCAAGAACCGGTCGATGTTGAACTGCTCGGGTTTCTCCCAGTACTTCGGGTCTTCATGACAAGACAAAGTCAACCCAAACACCCAACTTCCCTGCCAATAACACAACACATTCAAAGTATTATAGCAAGCACTGACACATGATAATATATAAGAAATTCACAAGCTTCCTTGGATGGAGTGAATGGAAAGCTTTCCAAGCTTCCTTGAAAAGAGTGCAACTTAAATTATTTGACCTTTTAAGACTCACAGGATCACACTACTTGTAATATGTAATTTTTTCATTATAGAAATTAGAGCTGAATTCTGCCTCTTATTCCTTATAATTACAAAGATTTGACATCACTCTTGGTATTATTACCTAATAAGTTGATAAATCTTATTATTATGCACAAAAAAGTTATTAATTCCAAAAAATCTGGAGCATGTGGCATCTTCACCACGTGAATTATAAAAACATTGTTTGATAGCATTTTTGTTTTGTTCAGTCACCCATATTTAGTTTGTTATCGTTCAATCTCTCAAGGAAAAAAGTAATAATAGGGGGTATCTCTTCATCGGAATTTCAGGAATTGTTATCGATATCACAATTTAGTTAATAATATATGCTGTATAATCAATTTAGTTATAGTGAATAAATTTTTCCATAGTTTTAAGTAAACAAAACAATATTTTAAGCAAACAAAACAATATTTTAAGCAAATAAAACAATATTTTAAGCAAATAAATCAATATTTTAAGCAAATAAAACAATATTTTATGCAAATAAAACAATATTTTAAGCAAATAAATCAATATTTTAAGCAAATAAAACTTAAATTAATTTTAAGATTTGCACATATGGATTTGTCCACTTGACGTGAATTGCGCAGTGCAATGATTAAGGTGCTGGTGAGTTTACCTTCGGGATGAAGTAGCCTTTCAGATACATGTCAGTTTGGTTTGCGTGTTGGACCCCCATAGCAACGAGTGAAGACACACGAAGAACCTCGTGAATGGTCGCTTCCACCAAAGACAACCTGAAACACCCAGCGTGCCCAAAAGGCTTCCTTCACGCCTGTGCTCATACATTTTTGCTTGAATATCTAGTGACAACATGTCTTCAAGTGTATATACAGGTCAAGATCGTTGAAAGATTAGCTTTGCTTAAATTATCAATAATAACAGCAATAGTATCAATATTAATACACACAGGAAGAAAGAATTCTGAGAACGACACGGAAATCTGTGCGGAAAGGGTGCGAGGATCAACAACATACTGGTAACAGAAAATAAGAATGGGTAAGGGTGACAACATTTGGGTAGTAATGGGTAGGAAACATGGGGTAAGGAAGGGAAACCTCAAGACTGGTGAGACTTAGCAAGTGGGACATCACAGGAACTTACCTGGACTTGTGGTAGTAGGACGGCAAGGTGTCTCGCGGGACGTACCTGGACTTGTGTTGGTAGGACGGCAAGGTGTCTCGCGGGACGTACCTAGACTTGTGTTGGTAGGACGGCAAGGTGTCTCACGGGACGTACCTGGACTTGTGTTGGTAGGACGGCAAGGTGTCTCGCGGGACGTACCTAGACTTGTGTTGGTAGGACGGCAAGGTGTCTCACGGGACGTACCTGGACTTGTGTTGGTAGGACGGCAAGGTGTCTCACGGGACGTACCTGGACTTGCGTTGGTTGGACGGCAAGGTGTCTCGCGGGACGTACCTGGACTTGTGTTGGTAGGACGGCAAGGTGTCTCGCGGGACGACGTCGTCAATCTGCTGCTGCACGCGTCGCTGGACGTCGGGGTACTTAATCATGTACAGGATCGTCCAGCGGAGCATGCTAGACGTTGTGTCGAAACCGGCCCCGAAGAGATCAAAAATTATCCTCATCAAGTCCGTTTCTACCGGATAATAGACGTTGGTATCCGGTTAATCAAGTTTGATTAATATATTAAATCAAATCAGACTTGAAACTGACGGGGCTAAGTTGAACACACGTACATTCGAATGTACAAGCTAAGTGAAACTCGTTATCGGTCGATTATCTTGAGAACGTATCAAGTTCGATGCTTCAGGCGAACAACATTGTTTTTATTATTGTAAAACACTCACAAATCATAAGGTAATCGCACAGTTCCATTATTAGAAAGCGAATCTATTGCATATAATTCAAGAGTCATGAGTGAGAAAAATAAAACATTATTGGAAGAATATTGAAGTTTTGGAAAAGCATAGTGCACTTTATAGCTTTGTTCAAAGAGTAAGTTCGTTGCAAGATTGCATTTCCACTTAGAATAAGTTCTCAAGACAAGAAACCTTAAAAACCATCTTAAATAATACCGATCAAGCAATGTGCCCAAAAATTACCATAATATATTCACAACAATAAAATTATTAATACTTTTTCAGGACTATATTAAGAAATTTTATTTAAATTATACATCTCCAAAAATCTGTCTCACCTCACCCACTGAGCACTTATATTTACACCAACTAAATGCCATAATATTCCATTATTATAAACTACAGGATCCTGAACGTATTGGGCTATATCGTAACTGCACTTGAAACTGTGTGGGTGTGTGCACGCAGTTTTGCAGAAATATTATATAGAGACATCACTGAGGTGAATATGAAATCCCAAGAGTTCCCCTGATGTAATCTCCTGAAATGTCCACAGAACTAATCAATCAATACGCAAGCGAAGGATAAAGTAACTCAGGCATATGTAGCCTATTAACCAAGCTCCAGCTTGACTCACCGCTGAAGAACTCTGCGATGTCAGCTTTGGAGTCCATGGCCACCAGGTACTGGTCCACGACGTCCCGAGGGTTGTCTGGGTCGAGCTTGGCCCGATGCTCGGTCACCACCTCCTTCAGAGAGGAAACATGGACGATATAAACAATATAAACAAGTTACTCTCGACCTAACCCAAGCAGACACTCAAGCCTCATATCAGAATTTACTTACCCTCATGATACGCTTGGATTCAGACTTTGTCTTTTCAAAAATATCCTCTTGACAAAACTTTCTCAAAACAAATGTTGGGACGAGCATTTTCACCCAGGGAATGAACTCGACCAGTAGCATCAGAATGTTGCTGAAATTTGTAGCCTTAATCAGGTCGATGAATCTCGCAATTTCCTCGTCCCCAAGTTCGTAACGTTTACCTGTGGAAAAACAGCATGATACTGGCCTGTGATGAATATAATTTTCATGCGACTAATTTAGAAAGTTCCTTGACTGACCCATGGAAGAGCGTGTTTGTAAGGAAATCAAGAGACTACCCGCGTTCAATCCTACCCCTTGCTATATATGTTATAATATATATAGTAAATTATAATGCTATAATATGATGAGTTTAGGTGGATATAAATAGGAGCTGCCTCGTATGGGTCAACAGGTCCTCTGCAGTTTTCTTTTTTATGTTCTATGGACTGACTAACAGGACTCTTCAACCAGTCTTATACTATGGGCGCTGGTGTTAGCAAAACAAGCTCAAGATGGACTTACTTGCTATCATCTGCCACACGACGTTGAGGCCCGCGATGCTGATGCACTTGGGGAAAGGTGTGGGCGCTCCGGTGAGGGTTTTCATGTTTTCCACCACCATGTTGGCCTCGTGTATGATGGCGTCTTCCAGGTAGGTCTTGCCCATGCCCAGGTCCCGCAGGTTACGCAGTAAGAACCTACGAGCGTTCTGCCACCTCTCCCCATTGGTCATGATCACTCCTGCAAGGCCAACACCTACGCTAACTCCTAGTGTATTATTCTACCTATTTTTCCGACTACCTTTGCTGAGAGATGTTGCCTGTTCGCATACGGCAGACAGCTAGCAGATGTTATCTAGGATCATATAGATATTTAGAGCAATGAATGACCCACGATCCTAGGTCTCAAGTTGTCGAGGAGGAAGCTTCACTGTTTCTAGCCTCTCCACTAACAATGTCTTCTAGCTTGTGTTACACTTAGGTCTTGCAAGCTCCTTTAATATTAGGTAGGTAGAATTGAGGTGATATCGTATTTTAGTTTCACAATTAGTGCATAGTGCATTTGAGGTGATTGATATGACGGAATAAGTTGTTTCTAAAGCGATCTTTTGTATTTAATATCATCTTTATACACATTAACTGTGAAAGTTTGACGGCATTGTTTAAGTAACCAATCAGCAGGAACCTTTTCCAAGTAGCTGTTGTGCAGATTCTTAACAGACAACAGGCATTCCCCTCGAGGGAATGATCCCCCCTAGTCTCAACACTTTTGCTGTTGTAATAATACCTTGACGATCACTGCAGCCAACAGTGAGGAATCACAGGCGACCAATCTGGTCCTTGGGAATGCAACAATAACACCTGCACACGACTCTGAAGAACGTCACACGTTCTCTATAATCACATGATCTTTAAATATGTTGAATCAATCATTCATAGTCACACTTGATTAAGACATAACACACTTTGAAAGGCTCTCTCTGTCACAGGAGAGCCACACTGGCTCTATCACATGAAAGAAACTTGTTAAGTCACAAGACCTAACTATACACAAAAACTTTATTATTCATTAATATTAATTCATATTTCAGAAAATACAATTTCTGATTACTCAGTATGTTAAAATTGAGGACTGCGTCTCTGTGGGATATCACCCATAGATTGGATTACCGAGTATCTGGGTAATGTTTTGAGTACGGGATGATATCTTAACACTGACCTGCCACCTCCCCGTCGGATATCCTGTTTGGGAAAGACATATAAGGACGATCAGACAGCTCTGGTTTGCTGAAGGTCTCCTTTATCAGCTCGTAGTTACACAGGAATATCATCCGGTTCGGTCCTATTTCGGTTCTGTGGTGGGGTTTGAAGCACATCATGTACCTATTTTGGTGAACTCTACTCTTGTGTACGTCACTCTCAAAACTCATTTTCTCTTCAGCTCATTCTAAAAACATTCTAAATTCAGCTCATTCTAAAAAAGCTCTTTTTATAAAAACATTAAAAAAATCAATTTTATTGATTCATTTACCATTTTATTGGTAAATGAATCAATAAAAACTATATAACTGACTCTAAGTTTACTACTTTCGAACTTTACTCGAGAAGTGTTTCGCTCATTTCCTGTGTTCGAAGTGCACCTTTCTAAATATTGCACCCATATATCTATATATAAATAATTACTAAAAGAAACAGAACACCTACTCAAGGCCTTACTATTCACAAATATAATACATAAATATTTTATTTGAAACTATACCGTTTTTCATTAATGTATAAATTAATATTAGTATATATTATAGTTGTGTAGTTATCTCCAGGGTAGGTTTGGTTAGGTGTTTTGGTTCTGTTGACAATTTTTTGTATATACAACAGGTGGAGAACAATTAACAGGTTTGCTTTGAACTGAGGGGGTGAATGAAGCATCAATCGAGAAAACTTTGAGATTAATCAGTTGTGAATGAATTATGTGTCATTTCATTCGTTATCAGAGTTGAGGATGGTGAGTTTATAAATATTCATACAATGATTTGAGGATGAATATTGTTAAATGGACCATTAAGGGCATTATGTTCTCTATAATGGGAATTTTATATTTTATATAATCATCCCTATAGGCTACCTTATGGTTTAATTTAACACCGCATCTATATATTAAATATTTAAGTGCATTTGCAAACTAATAAAAATTCCTGAACATTGCGTGCAACATCTACTAGAACAAGAACCTTGTCCTACTGTCTGAATCATCTAGTCGTATATGCAATATATCCTAGTGCTAGAAACATATCTTACTACTAGGAGCATATCCTAGTGCTAGCAACATACCCTAATGCTAACAAAGTACCCTAGTGCTAACAAAATATCCTAGTGCCTGCAATATATCATAGTGCTGACAACATATCTTACTTCTAGTAGATATGTAAATTAAATATATGATGTGAGCGAAATTGTATTTATCATTAGCTAGCCTAAATATTGAAATCACAATTTTACTTGAAGATATCGCCATATTTCTTCCTGTAGGCCCTCAGTTTGTCGTGGTCGAAAGCAGGTTCGCTTCCCAGATACGGGAACACCATGGGACCTGTGAGGAAATAACAAGGAATCATATCTTTTTTATATATTCCAGTATTCTAGTTTGATTTTCACTGGTGTACACAACCCTTCCTCTCCACTAACAGATCACATTTTGACGTATAGATCCCCCTACGGATATAATATATTGTACTAAAAATCATAGCGGCTAGCTCCTTATTTTTACTCTATAATATCATCGAGTACCTGCGTGTGTGGAGGTGGGGAGGCTTATGTACTTTCTACCAACAACAGTCCCATATTACTGGTGAACCGTTAACCCCTGAACTGCGCAGGAGTTAAGTAGGAAATCGGATATTAAGTAGGATAGAAGGAAATCGTACATAGCGACTGGAGCAGTACTGGTTAACTAACAAATTTGAAACTTAACTAATCTATATATTCATTATCTGTCCTTTTCCTGATATAATATTTTAAGTGATATATTTACTAGTCATATTTTTACAATACCAAAATTATTTACGAATCCTGGGTACCTTCACAACTAAATTTTTTCGTCAGTATATGATATAATTTATTTTGTTGTATTTGGCCTAATACATTATTAGCTAATAAAAGTAGAATACAAGTCAGCCTCAAACCTGTCTCAAATATTGTGGGTTCAAAAAGACCTTACTCGAAAAAATATATATTTTTAACTTTTGATTCTTTAAATGCTTAGCCACACTCTCCCTGTGCTTTTAATTGAAATAACGGAGTTGAATAACTAGTAAGTAAAGTTCTGGGCATAGTTTCAATGAATGTTTATATGCACTTAATAAACAATTTTGGTAAACGGTGTTACAACTCCCTTGGGTACATGGTGACCCTCTGGGGTACAGGGTATGATGACCCCTGGGGAAGGGCACCAAGACTCACCTGGGGGCATGCCCTTGGGCCTGAGGAACCAGTACCGCAGCAGCACCACCAGCACCACAAACAGCACCACCTCCAACCACATGATGACGTGAAGCTGTTGCTGTTGGGAGTTACCGTCTCCTGCGGCAAGTTATCGTCGCCTGAGACAAGTTACCACAGCCTGCGGCAAGTTACTGTCGCCTGTGGGTTATCCGTGACGCTCAGACGTTCAGAATACCATCATCTGTGGGTTACAAATCAGTATGCTACTAACATGACCACGCAATGTCTCTGAGTGTGTCCTTCAATGTTTAGAGCTAAACTATTTTACAGAAGAAAATGGGCAATGAAAGCTTTGTAAGAGAATAACTATAGCACTTTAAAAAACCCTCATGCACTGACGTCACACACGCATGTGTTGGATGTTGAAACTGATGGAGACGGGAGTCAAGTTACATTCCACTCTCCTCCTCTCATCCCATTCCTCCTCTCATTCCCTATCCACTCTCTTCCAATCTTCCCCTCTCCTTGCTCCCCAAAATCCCCTCTATCCCCCTTTTTACCCCTCTCCACTCTCATAATCTCCCCCTCTCTCCGTGCCCCCATCATTTCACCCTCGCCTTTCCTCCTTTCACCCCTCTCCCACGATGGGAGAGGGGTGAATCACCCCTTTCACCTCGCAGGATGGTTAATCACTCAGGGGATGTGATCAATATCCTGAGCTGGTCAACTCTGGGTGCATTATAAGGATATCCTCAAGAACACAAGAGTGATTCAAATCATTATAAAGATTGTCCAGGTACCTCATACCGACAGGTCAGGTACCGGCGGGTCTAATGAATGGACGTTCAGTAATGTAGTGTGTGTGTGTGTGATCAGGTGACCCAAACACCTAAGTCCTTAAGCACTCCAGGTGCAAACTTTGTAACCATGAACTGGGTCACAGAGTTTGCACCTGAAGTGTTCAGGACTAAATGCTCACCTGTAGCCACCTGCCACAGGTAACTGTAGTCCAACCTGATGCTGGCAGCTACTGTGTTGCACTGTCTGGTGGACGTTATGTGCCGCCCATATACGTAGGTTTTGGATTTAAACAAATTATAGATTTTTTTATCATGGTGCTTTTAGTCCTTTGGGAGCCAGAAATCTCTTTTCTACCAGCCTGAGTGTTTGGAACAACACTCAGTGTCTTAACACTTCTTTTGGAGTGGTAAAATGACCAAACCACACATCAGAAGATGGAGAAACGACGACGTTTCGGTCTGTTCTGAACCATTATCAAGTCTCTATTTTCAGATGTGTGGTTTGGTCATCATATCTTCAGCCACGTTATTGTGAGTCATCGTCTGCATTTGGAGAGTTAATTTAAAACTTAACGTTTAGGGTGTCAGCAACATAGATGGGGATATCTAGGTTTAATTCAGCTTCATCCTTGTTACACGCTAATTTAGCTGCAGTGTTTTTGTCTTTACGATGGGATATATTTATATGAGATGGTATTTATATAATAGAGACTCTAAACACACTACACTATGCAGCGAGCAGATTATTTATAATTGCTATTATGAGGATCTTGCTGTTGTGGGAGAAGTTTTCAAGGGCTTGAAGAACAGATTTTTAATCACAGAAAATTATTCCTCCTGCTGTGTTTTTTGATGTACTGGTAGCTGGTTGAAGTGCCACTAGTTCTGTTTGTGACGAGGTCAGCCAGTTATTTAACCTGACACTAATTTGTCTCTGAGTATTGCTGGAGATGTGGGCTCTCTCTCAAGACTTCAACGCAAAAGGCCGTGTTGACTTACATGATTCTCTCTAGTACGGTGGGAAGCTTCAGTTTTCCATCATGTGCTTCTATGGATACCAAGAATCACCCTGTATTATAATTCTGTATTTCCTTTAGTTTGTTCACGATAGAGGTGGACAAGTTAATTAGGTGCAAGGCATGATAATCCACTAGAGATCTAATAAACATCATGTAAAACATTCTAGTATATTTAACATTGATACCAATATTCTCACCAGTAAATGTTTTTAGTGGTTTATAGCCAATATTTTCACCTATGATGCAGGTCGTTTACAATGTCACTCTTGATACCTATTCCAAGGTATTTATGTTGCTCGCATGTTTCAATGTTTTGCTTGTTGACTTTGAAAGCTAAAGGAACATTTGCTTTTTAGGCGGGAATGAAGAACTCTGGATTTTGTTCGTATTCAAGACTACATTCAATCTTTTAAGCAGGAAGAAAATCTAGGAAACGAGTTTGAGTATTTGCAACAATACAAATGTCATCATACAAGGAGATGTGACAGATGACAGCGTCGTCAGCTAGTGAGGCAATGTCAGTTACTGATTTATGCGCCAAGACATTCAACATTTTGGGCTAAACACTCAACCCTGAAGTGTACCGAACTAAAGGTACAGAATTATTACTTCTAATCCCCTTAGAGAGAACAGTGGCGGTTCTGTTACTCAAGAATTCGTCGAGTCATGTCAGCATAACCTAACCTAACCTTAGGCAGGTTAGGTTAGGTTGGGTTAGGATCGGTTACGTTAGGTTAGGTTCGGTTACGTTAGGTTAGGTTAGATGTGGATGCTTATATACATCCACTTATATAGTGGATGCTAACACTATATATATTTTAGATATTAATCCTCCAACGGAGAGACGTTCGTGTGGTTTACTGACACGTAAACTGACATAGAGTTTATAGGCAATAAGTCGACCCATGTAAATATAAAAATAAAATTTCCGATGTAAATATAAACACATGCAAACATGCCGACAAATATGAGCCAGGATGAACAACCCAGCGGGTGTTCTTCCTATTGGGGAGTGTTGTACATGCTGCTATGGCGGTGTGTTCACTCACAGGATGAGTGACGCTGCACAATAAACTTCCCCTCCGGGGGGCAAAATATACAGTTAAATCAGTCACCGAATAAGTAGTTCGTGTTAATAGAGGAGTAAAGTGGACTCACGATGAATTTGTCGTCCAAGGGTGACTGGTATAGGAGGATGACACTAGGCACCGCCCACACCCAAGAGATAAGACCAGACTCAAATATGCCGGACAGACCAGCTCTCATCGAATGCCCTTGGGGGCGTTGTTGCCACTTCTCGCTAGGCGGCGCTAGGTGTGGCCCCTTGCAGCTCATTTGATAAACAAATAACAGTGACTAAGAGACTAATGCATCATAGTGACTGGGCAAATACCAAATCACAGTGACTGGACATATACCAAATCACAGTGACTGGATAAATACCAAATCACAGTGACCAAGCAAATCACAGTGACTCAGCGAGTGTCAATTGAAGGCACTTATGGTGACTAATGGTTACCTTAACCCATTACTTCGGACGTAACTGCGTAATTTTAATTTTCTTCACTTAGTATGCACCCCATCCGCCTCCTATGGGGTGGTAATGAAGAAATTTACAAGGTCATATTACAGACCCGCAAATTCATTTAGCTAAGCAACTTACTATCAGATACACTAGTTATGCACAGTTAATGTAAATATCATTAGTCTTTCATAGTACAATTCGTTCAAGAACTGGGCCACAACGGTCTGTGAACCCAGCAATTTACTACTGTGATGAACCAGTTACATATTTACTAATGATACAGTAGCGGAAGGTTTGAAATAGCGTGCGTTCTCTATTTAAGTAAGCTTGCTTTAGATATATCTTTAAGATTTCTGGTAGTACCTTATTTCTTGAACATTTGCAATAAAATTATCTCCAAATTCTAAGTTGTTTTTACTTCATAGCCTTCCCGGCTTGGTGCCTTCTTTTGATAATTACTTACTTTCACATTCAGTTACATAGTAGCGCAAGGTTTTGTAAGTAGTTCTGCTGACAGATTTTTGCTTCAGATCCTATTCGAAAGATGAAGCGAACTCCCAGAGGTACTTATAGAGCCTAAGCCCAGCAGTAGTAACGTGTATAGTGGTCGTCTTCTCATCTTACTGGATGACCCGTAGATGTATGGATCTCCTTATGCAATAATATGATTATAGATTTAGTAACTAGTGTGACTTTTGTGCTTTTAGATTGTATACTCTCTTAAGGATCATGAATTTGTTAACTTGAATCATTATAATTTAGAGTGAACATACCGCCATGTCAGCATCTCCAATGTCCATCCTCAATTTCTAGTAAGAAGAAAGCCAGCTGAGTTGTTCATCCCGTGAGTGAACACGCCGCCAATGCAGTATGTTCATCACCCTTCAAGAGGAACGAAAACCCGCTGGGTTGTTCATCATGTCTGATTTACCTGATTTACCTCAGGGCCACTAACACTAGTGGCCTTAACTATGCCGAGGGAGCCGGTCGGCCGAGCGGACAGCACGCTGGACTTGTGATCCTGTGGTCCTGGGTTCGATCCCAGGCGCCGGCGAGAAACAATGGGCAAAGTTTATTTCACCCTATGCCCCTGTTACCTAGCAGTAAAATAGGTACCTTTGTGTTAGTCAGCTGTCACGGGCTGCTTCCTGGGGCTGAAGGCCTGGTCGAGGACCGGGCCGCGGGGACACTAAAAAGCCCCGAAAACATCTCAAGATAACCTCAAGAATGGCAGGAAGCCGGCGACTTGTAGAAGGTCCCCCCACTGGTACCCAGACGAAGCTGGGACTTAACTGTCTCAAGTGAACAGATCGACAAAGGAATTAACATTTACAAGCGTTCAACCTGACGTTACCTTATGGAAGAAAAGTGGGAGGAACCTTTATAGGTCAGCATCTCTATTTAAGGAACAAAAGTGCTAACGCAATCAATGTCTGATTTGCGATATTGCGCACGTTTCTGATATTTCTTAAGTGAGCAGTTACTTGAACAGTGTTCCAGACGATGTCGTCTCATGCTGTAATCTCTGTAATCCTTCTACTTAAGCGTCTCGTCCTGTTAAGGCATTGAAACCCCGAACCATTCGGCTGTCATCCAACTGCGCTATTCATTTCGCTAGAGAACTCGCTATGTAAAGAGCTCTAGAAAATATCCTGATTGTTTTTGTCATAATCCGTAGTCCCAGAGACGTAAGCACTTCCCGCTTAACAAGCCACAATGCAGGAGAAACTTTTTCTCCCCCGTGGGATAATAAACCCATGGAAACCCCATCTGCCGAAGCCGTAGATGCCAAGATATCATTTCAGTGTAAAATTCCGTGAATATCAACCCCAGAAATAATGGAGGAGGAGGGAAAGCCTTTAACAAGCTACCGGCTTTCTGTCCCCATCCCCCGGTGGCTCTCAGGTAAATTCAGGTAAATTTATATACCAGACGCATTACGCAAGGCAGTTCGCAGGTTTTTCTCCCGCCATCTTGCCTCTGTAAGGTAGGACGAAGAGCGGAAGCCAGCCGGCCGCCCCGCGCTGCCTGCCTTCGAGTGGTTTATTCTTCTTATTGTGAAAAGTTTGGCCAACGAGCCGATAATATATGAGATTAGGGCCGAAAATCACATCCAGGGAAGGGAAGAGCCTGGTGGGAGGAAGCGATACGCGAGCTGTTGTGTATCGCGGAGGGAAAAACCAACCTGTTGTAGCAGGGAGTTTTCGAACAAAAAGATCGGGGGTTTGTGGAGAATGGGTAAAAAAAGCAATGGACTGCCTGTTGGGGAAAGGCAGCCGGCTGTGGTGAGAGGCGATACACAAGGTAATGCGGAGGGGAATGTGGGAGATGGGGAACAGGGAGAGGAGTTTTAGTGAGGAATATGAGAGTGAGAGAACTTAGGAAAATGCGAGAGATATTGATGAGAGAGTTCGTAAGGGTACGTTGCTGATTACAGCCTCAAATGTTAAGAAGATCCTCTAACATAAAGCTTCAATTAATTTATGTATTCAATTATGTATGATGTGAGTATAATATGGGTGCAATATGAGTATAATATTGAGTATAATGAGCATAAACGCACAATCATAAACTCTGCAGTATCTCATTGTAACCATTTGTGTCAAACTCTAACTCGATGTCTTTACTTGTAAATAGTAATTATTAAATGATATAAAATGAACCTTTGGTCTCCTGGCGACACAAACAAAACATAATTCTTACACTTAATCTTGTCATTTGGCATACGCTTGAGGAAACACACACACACACACACACACACACACACACACACACACACACACACACACACACACACACACACACACACACACACACACACACACACCCTACAGCTTATCACCAGATAACAAAAACTCTTAAATATTATAATTTAACTTTTCATTTCCAAATGAATATACTAAACCTCAGCACAATACATCAAAATAAGAGACCAAAACACAAATCAACATCCAAATATGATAATTATGAACATAAAACCTCCCTAAAGGGTCCCCAATATTGGCAGCTGAGGCTCCAAATGTCCACCAGTCTACCGCGCTTTGGAAATCAAAATCAAAATTTCTCGATCTTTTGTGAGCGCGTAAGCCCTCGGTAATTGGATGATCGGAGAAAACCATTTTGGATCGGGAATAGGATTAAAATTCCTGAGAATAGGATTAAGATTCTCGGGGGAGGGCGAGAGTGTCTGTGGAGAATGATGGCTCCCTTGGAACCTTAAACTGGTAGTTGGGGGGGAGAGATAGAGGGTGAAGATGCCAGAGAGAGAGAGAGAGGGAGAGAGAGAGAGAGAGAGGAAGAGAAAGGGATATACTGACTAGTCTGTAACGCATACAGGAGCCTGTGGGGAAGCTCCAAGCAACAATAATATAAATGAAGTTATCAGAAGACAAGCCAGGGACCTCAGGGGAGGACTTGTGAAGTAGAAGACCTTGGAACCAACAAAACACTAACAACAGTCCAACTGCGGCCCGCTCCAAGCAACAGCCTGTTGGACCATGCTCTCACAAGTCAAGCCTGACCCCTGGGCCGGGTGCCCGGGGGCCAGGCAACAGTGCCAAATATCTATGCAACAGTGCCAAATATCTACGCAACAGGGCCAAATATCTATGCAACAGGGCCAAATATCTATGCAACAGGGCCAAATATCTACGCAACAGGGCCAAATATCTACGCAACAGGGCCAAATATCTATGCAACAGGGCCAAATATCTACGCAACAGTGCCAAATATCTACGCAACAGTGCCAAATATCTACGCAACAGGGCCAAATATCTATGCAACAGGGCCAAATATCTACGCAACAGTGCCAAATATCTACGCAACAGGGCCAAATATCTACGCAACAGTGCCAAATATCTATGCAACAGGGATAAATATCTATGCAACAGTGCCAAATATCTACGCAACAGGGCCAAATATCTACGCAACAGTGCCAAATATCTATGCAACAGGGACAATATCTATGAAACATTGCCAAATATCTACGCAACGGTGCCAAATATCTACGCAACAGGGCCAAATATCTATGCAACAGGGCCAACTATCTATGCAACAGTGACAAGCACTGTATATAACGAAAAACGAGCACAGCCACCGCCTAAGTAAGACAGTAATATGTAACACTAAGTGGGCCAACCAGAGGCTTGAGGTCCGCGCGGGAATATCTCTGAAAACAAAACAAAAACGCGAGCTACGCAGTTTGAATTTAAAACATTATATAGCTAAACTTCAAGTGAACAACAAAGAACATTTATGCTTCTTTAAAAAACGAACAAAAATGTCATCTTCAGAAACTAATTAAACTCTTTCTCTTTCGCGTGCCAAAAATAATTCTTTCATCTAGACAAAATTAGCGAAAAACGCCGAGAATTTTTCGAGAAATAATGGAAAATCTCTCGTCGAAATTTGCCTTAAAAATCTTTCTTGTGGAGAGAGAGAAAGAGAGGTTTAGGAAACTTTGCTCCTTAAAATTTACGAAAATCTCGCGAACTATGAGACCTCCTGTTAAGTAAAATGTCTTGAACTCAAGTTTTTAATTCGGTATATTCTGGAAAAAATTTAACAAATATTTCAAGATAAATGGAGATATGATTTTCTGTGTGTGTGTGTGTGTGTGTGTGTGTGTGTGTGTGTGTGTGTGTGTGTGTGTGTGTGTGTGTGTGTGTGTGTGTTGATGTTGGCATTGTATGTTTCTGTGTTGACATAACATGTCTGTCAGTTATGTTGAAAGGACCAGCCTCTCTGTTAGTTACGTTGACAGGACCTGCCCCTCTCCCAGTTATGTTGACAGGGCCTGTCTCTTCTAATTTTGTTGACAGGATCTCTCTCAGTATCACTGATGTTTGCTGTACTCCTACCTTCATGTACTCCTATATATATCTTCCTGTGCTCCTTCCAACTTCCGTCAAAAGCACTGGGCTTCGGGGGACTCCGAAGTCATCCAGTGTTATTATCCGTATAAGATACACTACGGTACGGTGTGGACGGTGTGGACAATAGCCGCTGAGAAGGTCAGTGTGGAAGGGGAACATTCCTCTAACCCAGCCGGAATTTGTTAGTGCGAGAACCGTGTAGTGGGTGGGTAATGATACTCAAACAAAAGACGGTGATCTATTGGCGCCAAATGACTTGTGGTACGTGGTCTTCGAAGGGGTGTGAATGTTGTATACTTTCCCTAAATGAAGTGGGGACAGACTATGGTTCAAGTTCAAGTTCAAGTATGTTTATTGAGATAAGCAAGAAATACATCTCAGAGGGATAGAGTAGCTTAGGCTATTTCTACCCCCCTTCAGACTATGGTAGACTATCCGTTAACAGAATAGTAGATTCTGTTGTCTGTAAGTAGGAGATAAGGACGAAAATGTTGGAGTTTGACAAAAAAAAAACTGTAATTAAAAAAATAAAAACGGTGATATTATTATTATTATTATTATTATTATTATTATTATTATTATTATTATTATTATTATAGAGTAAAGGAAAATTATCTATTTAACAATTTAGAGAAAACGTACACGCTTAGGACGGATGAGCAGGTACTGTGGTAAATTGGAATAACTGTTTATTGCACCTGAACTTTTCAACGTGGCTGTTTTGCTCTTCCTGCCATGTCTCCTGGTCTCGTAAGAAGTTGTTTCCGTGTGCAGATTTGTAACCAGTCCGTCTAATATTTTCCAAGTGTAAACTTCTCGCCTGTGCTGTAGAAAACAGAGCTTGAGAAACGTTAAACGTTTCCAGTAATTTAGATAGTTTATTGAATGGTAGAAACTTCCTCGCCAATTCACTAAACGCCATACGTAAATAGGAATTCAGGAAATGCCATTTCTGTTGCCTTGTGGATTTACAAACTTCTGTTCTTTTTTACAAAAGTTACTCATTAGTCTCTTACCAGGACATCATAAAACAAAACATGTGATAATTAGCTTTAATTAATACCTTGATAAAAACATAGAAATGTAAACAGTACTTAATACCATATTACTTCTGCCTCTTGTCGACGGCCTCTAACACATTGCTGCAGCCCTTTCTTGCCTGCTGGAGGAGGTCGTCTGCCTCCCTCAGGTATCTGGCGCGTGTAGCCTCATCGGTAATGTTGTTCAGATTAATTTGAACGTTGTAGAAGGCGCCCCAGGCCCCTGCCTCCAGACACCTCGCCCCGACCTGTACAATGTTAAAATGGTTTAGATTGTTAACTTTCTGTGTATTAATAAAGTTTGGTACAGAGCGTTGACCAGACTACACACTAGAAGGTGTAGGGACGACGACGTTTCGGTCCGTCCTGGACCATTCTCAAGTCGATTGTGAGAATGTCTCAATCGTCCCATTCTCAAGTCACAATCGACTTGAGAATGGTCCAGGGCGGACCGAAACGTCGTCGTCCCTTCACCTTCTAGTGTGTGGTCTGGTCAACATACTTTAGCCACGTTATTGTGACTCATCGCCTGCATTTGGTACAGAGCGGTGTGCTGCTACACATGAGAGATTACATAGTATGGGTCAAGAGCTAGCTGTAAGATCAATAATATTCCCGTCTTATAGGATGGTTTAGAAGATGTTTTGTTAAATTGAGAAAAGTTCGCAAATTAATTGTATTTAAAAACAGAACATTAATGTAATGTACTGTCAGTGAAGTTGATATTAACAAAACTAATTGTAAAATTGAAAACATAAGACATAAAGAAGTATGTGATATTTAGTCTTGGTGGTATATACATTATACAAATTATGCATTAGATTCTAAAATATAAATCAACTCAACGCCTTGACAAGCCTTAGTAACTTAGCTGTGACATTGTCATTAAAACAGTGATAGCTAAACTCAATCATTACTTTCGTTAACCTAATACTCTACAAAGTTTAAACAATATATAAGTTGTTTGTAAATTTCATAGACGCTTGTCGTAGGAACCCAAAGCCAGTAATTTCGAAGAGGACCTTACCTGGAGAAGAGGACCTTACCTGGAGAAGAGGACCTTACCTGGAGAAGAGGACCTTACCTGGAGAAGAGGACCTTACCTGGAGAAGAGGACCTTACCTGGAGAAGAGGACCTTACCTGGAGAAGAGGACCTTACCTGGAGAAGAGGACCTTACCTGGAGAAGAGGACTTTACCTGAAGAAGAGGACCTTACCTGGAGAAGAGGACCTTACCTGGAGAAGAGGATCTTACCTGAAGAAGAGGACCTTACCTGGAGAAGAGGACCTTACCTGGAGGTCCGACCTGCAATTAATGTTGCCGACATCGGCGAGCTGAGTGAGGGCCTCCCAGGTGCCCGCGTTCACCTTCCTCAGGAGTGAGAGAGGCACCTGTATGGTCTCCTCTGTGGCAGCGGCCATTGCTGCCTCTCGGGCTGCCCGCTCTTCGTCCGTTTTCTGAGGAAGCTTCGTGGCTGCCTGAAGTATATGTCAAGTAACGGGTTATTACATCATTCCGTCATAACAGAACCTCGCAGGACTTTAAATACGACTTATGGAAACTTATGGATGCATATAAGCTTAAATAAGGCTTATGGATGCATAATTGTGACTGCCTTCTAACCCAAGCATGTTAACATGCTTCAAGCAGTCTCCGTGGTGTAGTGGTAAGACACTCGCCTGGCGTTCCGCGAGCGCTATGTCATGGGTTCGTATCCTGGCCGGGGAGGATTTACTGGGCGCAATTTCTTAACTGTAGCCTCTGTTTAACGCAACAGTAAAATGTGTACTTGGATGAAAAAACGATTCTTCGCGGCAGGGGATCGTATTCCAGGGACCATAGGATTAAGGACTTGCCCGAAACGCTACGCGTACTAGTGGCTGTACAAGAATGTAACAACTCTTGTATATATCTCAAAAAAAAAAAAAAAAAAAAAAAAAAAAAAAAAAAACATAATGTCGTAAGAAATTTGATAAGGGAAGATTCACAATAACTTACAATTAAGGCGTGGAATTTGGATGTAGGTACACATTTGTTAGAAGCTAACAAAGTTTGTCTGTAGGGTGTAAACCCAGTTAACATAACATAACAGTTAACAGTTAACTCCTAAATACCTATTTACAGCAAGGTAGACAGAGCTATCAAATGAAACGAAACCTTGCCCAGACGCTTCTGTCCTATTAACAAATCCACAAGGGCCATGATGTGGGTTCGAACCTACGTCCGAGAGGGCCCCAGACGCACCTTAATCGCGTAAATACATGTGATTTCCGTGTGCTTCTGTCCTACCTCGGGAATCGAACCTGGAATCTTTAATTGTGAAACCGACATAGCCTAATGCACTATAGGACATTAAGTACGTGTATGAGTGCGAGTAAAATTACAAGATATTCGATCAAACGAGGAAAGGGGATAGTTACCATGTACTTGTTGAAGGCGGCGGTGTCAGCGTCAATGGCAGGAATGAGGGATACTGCCGCCTGGTGGAGGGGCGGGAGGACCCGGCGGATGGTGGCGTCCAAGGACTCCCATTGACGCTTGCCGTACGTCAACTGTCCCACCATGGCGCCTAAAGCTGCGCCCTGATGAGTAATGTTTAATCAACGTTCATTTATTATAGCATTTACTCAGTATAGCATCAACGCCCATTTGTTGTATCGTTGACTCAGCATGGCATCAACATAGTTCATCATTCAAGTTAATCATTCAACATAGTTCATCATTATAACACCGGGCAGTCATGGTACATTACAGAACAGCTCTGACCTCAACGGATACCATGATGTTTGAGCAGGGAAAATGCAGTTTTATATGTTAAAAATACAAATAACCCAACCGACAGATGAGGACTGACAGCGATATTGTTCTGGTCCGTCGTGGACCTCTTAGGACTTGATAAGTCCAGAATTCATCAAACATTTACGCAACCATTTACGATTTCTATACATCTTTCCACAATCAAGGCAGCTTTGTTTGGTCTTATTAAACAGTTTGTGAGCTCCGAAGCACTACGAGGTTGTTTGTAATAATAATAACAGCCTAGTGAAGTGTCGAAGCTCGTAACCTGTTTAATAAAATAAATCAATGTCGCCATGATTGACGAAAGACGTACAGGCTTCGTAAATGGTTGTGTAAAAGCTTGATGAATCATTCCATATATGCGGACTGGGTAATATTATAATTTAGGCGTGTTACTGCATCTTGTTCTCTGCTTTAAAATACAAAATCATGTCAAATGGTGGGAACAAGTTACAGCCCCTCTCCTGTGTCAGGTAAGTCCACTACGGACTCACCATAGCCCGTGCTACTTGGAACTTTTAATTCCCAGTAGCTGAATCTATAAGAACATCGTCAAATGGTTTTCTTACTAGAGCGGCGACGACGGCGGCGACGGAGCCTCCTCCAGGGGCGGGAGAGCGGGAAGCCACGCTCCTGATGAAGCCCTCCACGCTGCCGCCGGCCAGCTCCCCCGTCCCACTGTTCTCTAAGCAGTACTCGATAACTCGCTCCCTGTCAGGGACAGAAGCTTACATGAACGGGTTAATACATACGGGTCCAGAAGCACATAAGTGGTCTACGTCTGCGACTCACAAATCGAGGGATACGGGTTCAGTCCCAGAGAGAACAGAAACGGTTTGGTACGTTTTTCTTTTCTGTCTCTGTTTATCCTAGCAGTCAAATAGGCTCCCGGGAGTTAGACTACTTTTGAGGGTTGCATCCTGGGTAAGGTCAGTAGTTTGCCTTGGAGGGTCCTCGGTAAGCCTAAATACAGGCCTCCTGCCCCCTTCCCCCCATCCCCTCGGAAAGCGGGAATTATATTCAGGTGTTCCCGAAAACACTGAAAATGTCCCCGTTGTTAATAATATTTATTTCCCGGCTGGCAAATTGTCAGATCACAGTCCCATATATTAATATGCAAAGTACAGGGCGTATATGTGTTCAAATAACATCGAATACTTATATCGCACTATTATATTCACTTCAAATGTAGACAGTAACCACGATTTAAAACAACTGCTGAGTTAAACCCCTAATATTAAATTTATAACATGTTCTTATAAAAAATAAACATTGATTTGTTTTGAAGCGGAAAATAAGGGTTTCCAAATCTAAAATAAGTAACGTACGATCTCCTTCGGCTTGAAAGAAATGCGCGACTCACTTCGGCTTGAAAGGTGAAATGGTACTGAGTCCAAGGCGGTTGATGGCGAGGTGAACTTTCTGGTCCTCCTCCAAGATGAAGAGGTTCTCCTTCTGGATGTAGTAGTCAGCGGCCATCAAGAGTGCCTCCAAGGGGACGAGCCCCACGATCTCCGACCCTGTGACGGCCAGTTTCATGTCCTCGGCGTCCTTCTTCGCCTGCGGGAGGAGACTCACACAGTGACCAGTCTTGAGGCTACAGTGAACGTTCGTTTAGCTTCCCCAAGATTACTTCAGGTACATATATGTACAAGTGCATATATATACAGAACTTTATTTATAATCAAAACAAATTTTTGCTGAAAGTATTGTATCTCGGCACTTGTTTTGGTAACGATAATCGTATTAAACATAATAAAGTTGACAATATTAAAGTTTAAGATATAAAGTTAATACTTGCAACTGCGTCAAACTGTGTTTTCAGAAGAAAATATAAACGTTTAACCACAAAAAGGAATGTTTAAGAAAAAGAAATTATAAATATTCTCTCGAAGTCGGTTTACCTCTTCGTAGGCGACGTGTATGGGCGTGACTTCGAAGTCAGTGAGATTGATGCTGATTTGTGCGATGTTCTGCTCTTGGAGATACCAACCTATAGCCTGGCAGCAGCGGAGGCGGCCCGGCTGCTCGGGGCCACGGCCTTGATCCCGAAGATTCAATGCTATCCTGTGGACGAGAACCACCGCATGAATAAAGGAAACTGCAGACGTCCTATTATCCCATAGGAGTTAACTCCTATTTATATTCACACAAAGTCATGCATGAATATGTGGAGTATCCACTAGGCGAAATAAAACGAAAATAATATGCGCACTTTCGTGATATTTCTCCTAAGTGGATATGTATACATTATATATATATATATATATATATATATATATATATATATATATATATATATATATATATATATATATATATATATATATATATATATATATATATATATATGACAATGTCAGACCACGGAGGAAAAATGAAACAGGAATTTCCTTAAGTACTTTCGTATATTAATACATCTTCAGAAGGAGTCACGAAAAAAAAAAAAAGTGCTGCTTAAAAAAGCAGCACTCCTTCTGAAGATGTATTAATATACGAAAGTACTTAAGGAAATTCCTGTTTCATTTTTCCTCCGTGGTCTGACATTGTCACATTTTTAATCACGTGTTTATTTTCGTGATATACACACACACACATATATATATATATATATATATATATATATATATATATATATATATATATATATATATATATATATATATATATATATATATATATCCAACCTACGCTTGGCACAATCCAGCGATCACACATTTACCAGACCTTCACCAAGCGTAGCTGTGTTATAAGCAGTTCTGGTATAGTCAGAGAGCATGCCTAGTTTGCGTTTAAGTGGAACTAAATTGGTGTAGATTGTCGTAGTAACATTGATGTGGTCTTTATGTGGCCTCCTTGATGTGTGTGTGTGTGTGTGTGTGTGTGTGTGTGTGTGTGTGTGTGTGTGTGTGTGTGTGTGTGTGTGTGTGTGTGTGTGTGTGTGTGTGTGTGTGTGTGTGTGTGTGTGTCTTTGTGGTCATTTATTATCTCATTGGCTTGAGTCAAACACATGACGAACATCTTCGTCTTGTGTTTGACTAAATATCGACTCCAGGCTAGAGCCGCATACTCCAGGACTGGTCTGACATATGTGATATACAATGTGTGCATATCCTACCTTTATATGTATAAATGATTTTGTAGCTTTTATGTATTAATACCATATATGTCGGCCAAAATGTAGAAGTAAATAAGTATATATATGTATAACCACTCTCCCTAGAGGAACGCGGGGAGCACACCCTCTCTCTCTCTCTCTCTCTCTCTCTCTCTCTCTCTCTCTCTCTCTCTCTCTCTCTCTCTCTCTCTCTCTCTCTCTCTCTCTCTCTCTCTCTCTCTCTCTCTCTCTCTGCTTGAAGAACATCATCTACACACGCTTCCTTTTCTCGGATCAAGCTATGGTCTTATCTTAGCCTCTCTCATGGTATCATCCATATATAGAATACATATGCTTACTAACTTAATTATTAAAACTTAATTATGAATCACAGCCTGGTTGATGATCAGGTATCTTGAGCACCGTGAAAGACTGGCCAGTTATGCCCCTTATGTGTAGCGGGCTATAACTAGCCCATCTCTCACGGTGCTCAAGAGAGAACTTGATAAACATCAATGTCTAATTTATTTCAAGCACTCTTCCAGTCATAATTAAATGTATATTTATATATAGACCTGTGTGCCTGTTCCTTGGTGGCAACCATGTTGACGTTGTAGGCGATGAGGAACTTCCTCACACCCGTGACCGAGGCGCCCCATCGAGGCACCCAGTTCGGATCCCCGAAATCCGGCGCCCATTCCGGCTTTTGTAGCTGAGGAATGATACGAGAACCGTTTAAGTAGATCTACTTGAACGTGTCTGAAGTTTATGTCCAATTTGAAGTGCAGTAACCAGGATTCATCAGGCATTTACACAACAATTTCGTACATTCGAAAGATGTACATCTTTCCTCAATCGCGTGGGCTTTGTTTACATTTATTAAACAGTTTACGAGCAATTTCACAACTCAGGGTTATACATTTTCTTGAACAACTTTGTTGTGCTTTGGCGCTCGTCAAGGATTGAGGGAGATGTATATATTTCGTAAGTGATTGCTTAATTGCCTGATGAATCCTGTATAATACATCACTCAGTAAAGTTCCATAGGATCCTAGTAGCTATCCGGAGCATCGCAAAGAAGTTACTTATTATAAATTATATCAAAATAAAGTATAAAACTTTCAGCATGCACATATGTTCATTTATTGTAAACAATTTAAAATTTGCCGAACTACTCGAAATTATAATACAATTTTTAATGTTATTTTGAGACATAAGTAAGACGTGGAAATTGTGTTTCTCAAACATTGTCAAGTATTTATATAATTTCCTTAGCATTATCGTCAACAATTTAAATTTACATAAATTAAATGACTGCTTCTAAAAGTAGAGTTTATACCGGCAACGCGAGCGACCTCTGGGGTCCTCAGCATCTCCAGGTCCAGGCTATGTACTGTATCAAGAATGCTCAGGTACGCAGACGAGGAGTCACAATTACTTGGCTGAAATATGTTGACCAAACCACGCACACTAGAAAGTGAAGGGACGACGACGTTTCGGTCCGTCCTGGACCATTCTCAAGTCTATTGTGACTTGAGAATAGTCCAGAACGGACCGAAACGTCGTCGTCCCTTCACTTTCTAGTGTGTGATTTGGTCAACATGCTCAGGTACCTTATCTTTCATTCCCTCGTATTCGCCGGCGCGGATTTGTGGCATGGTCCGGCGGTAGTCGCTGGAGGAGGCGGCGCCGTAGAGGAAGACGGGGACGCCCAGCTCCTGCGCCAAGCGGGCTCCGAACGTCTTGGCGACGACCACACATTCCTCCTCCGTCACCCCTCGCACAGGGATGAACGGACACACGTCCAGGGCGCCCATACGAGGGTGCTCGCCTGCAGGAATGTTGAGAGAGAGAGAGATAGTTTTTATTAATGTATTTCGGTTCAAAACTCTTAACCAGCTGTTCTTCTCACCTTAGAGAGGTTGGGTCTCCTCTGCTAACGCCAGTCTAGGAAGCATCTGGCTATATCTTATGCTTTCAGTAAACTATCCTCCTAAATCTATAGCATTTTTAGCAACTATCTTCTTAACGTACAAAAAGAGACTATTGTACTAATACAATAGTTCTTTTTGTACCATTGGAACACCACAAAGGACATGTTAAAATCTGGAACAGTAACTATATAACCTAACTTAACTTGTTACAGTCTACAGTGAGATATTTTAGGCCTAATAAACTCCATTTAGGTCTAATTTTGTAATTAAGTGCTATACTAGGCCCAGGAAAACGCAAATACACTAGTGCCAAACATTTTCTAGGTTTTTAATTTTTCGTGGCAATGTGTACATTATTATAAGTTATACGTTATCATCAGTTGTTCCAATAGTCCCTTTGTGTACGTTCCTGCCATAGGCTCTGTGAACACTTTTTTACTGTTGGTTGACTGATGGAACAAATAGATAAACTCTGTCAGTGTGCAGCCCGGGTACACTCTGTCAGTCTGGGTACACTCCTTCAGCGTGTGTACACTCCCTCAGTGTGGGTACACTTCATAACGTAATACTGTAACAGCTTCTGAAACATAAAGTATATATCCCCAAGACTGGGAGACCTCGCTCTACACGACAATAAATGTTTACAATAACAACAGTGTGGACACTGGTGGCTTGTACAGAGACGAAATATTAAGACTAAAACGCAGAACAGCGGAAGCCTATTGTTACGTATCGTTCACCAGAATAGCTGCTTCATCTCATGCTTATGAAACATAAAAACGCAACCTAAAATCCTATTTCAAAACCAGAAATCTTTGAGAAATATGTTGTTTATAGATCAGGATTTGCTTGAAACAGTTCGAAGGCTGGTTCAATGCCTGTACCCTACAGGGGAAGCAGATGGGTGGGAGGGGGCAGGAGACAGGCCAGAGGGCGGCTATCACTGGAGATCAGTTGGCGACAGTGACCACTGGACCTGTTTTTGTGTACTTGGTTCGACTCCTGCATTCTTATGATCCACTGATACGACCTTATTTTGTTCATAGGTGCCAGATACTAGAGGCTTACCATGTTGTAAAGCACTTTCGATAAGTCTATATCTGCCTTTTTCTGAGGTTTTTGTTTTTCATGATAGCTTATGGATTACTATATGATACCTTCAACTGACCCCAAATAATACGACCTCTCAACCCGAGCCATAAACTATCGAAACATCCCCGACTTCTAATCGAGTTCAACTTGAGCTCACCTTTGTGCTTGGTCATGTCAATCAACTTGTAGGCTACTTTGGAGGCGTTGAGAGCGGCCTCGACAACATCCGCGGGGTTACCGACGAAGGTGTAGACGGTGCGGTTGGTGGAGTGGCCGGGGTCCACGTCGAGGAGCGTCGCCCCCGGGGTCTCCCGGATGGCAGTGGCTATCTCCTCGATGACCTGGGGATGGAGGGAGCGAGGATAACCGCCGAAAGATGTTGTTGTTGCTTAAGATTCAGCTATTCGGACCAAAAGGTTCCAAGTAGCACGAACTATGGTGAGCCCGTAGTGGACTTACCTGGCACAGGAGCGAGGCTACTATAACTTGGCGCGCCCAGAGATGTTGTTGTTGTTTAAGATTCAGCTACACGGACCAAAAGGTTCCAAGTAGCACGAGCCATGGTGAGCCCACTGTGGACTTACCTGGCACAGGAGAGGGGCTATAACTTGGCGCCGAGAGAGAGGAGCCTTGTTTGTATAGATGAATGATAGCGGTTGTGTGGTGTAGGGAGTGAAAGTGAAAAAACAAGGAGGAAAGAGAAGAGGGGGAGACAGAGCAAGTATGGGAGAAAGCGAGAGGTTTGCGAAGGGAAGACTCGGTATATTTAACAAAAAATCCGAAACACAGGTGTGATGGATTTGATTATGGAGGTGCACATTGACTCTGAGCTCCAGTGTTAGCTATTTGTTATTATGTATATTTTGTACAGTGGCCATCGTTTTTTTTTCCTACTACAACATTAGCATCATTTATTGAAAATTCAGAAAAGATTACCATTTCATATTAAGTATACAATAATAGAATTACAGTGGCAGTAGATAAGAGTAATCTTGATGGCGAAATATGTCCAATAGTGCGACAAAACTTTAATAATGTCCGTATTACTGTCTTTAACAATAAATCTTCTTGTCCACATCGACGCCATTAGATAAACCACAGATAAAATCGGGTAAAACACATATTTAACATGATTTTCACTAAAAAATTCGATGTTAACTTTATTTTAACGTTTTTCTGCGTTCATAGAAATCTTAAGTATATGGGTAATAATTCATTAAAAATACAATAACAATTGTTTAATTCCCTCAGGCCTGACAAGGCTCTCAGAGCAGGTCCTCTGATAACAAAAAATCCTCCGTCTCTGCTCCGCTCTTGGCAGCTCTGGTTAAGAAACCTGTAGCGGCCACCTAAAAAAAAAACTTATGCTCCTTATTGAATGTGGAACAACTTTGTTTTCGTTGATTGTTCCAACAAGGAAGAACACATTTCATTCTTATATATATATATATATATATATATATATATATATATATATATATATATATATATATATATATATATATATATATATATAATAGCTGTCTCTACTGAGATATAGCCCGCGTCCAGTAGAACGTCTTATGAACGTAGACCACGTCCAGTAGAGCGTCTTATGAACGTAGACCGCAAATTCTTTGGTTAATTTACAAAATTGATTAGAAACAAATTAATATTGGTTACGTTATATATAGTATCAGCATAAATGTAAACAATAGACTTATATATCCTGATTGTATGCTTACTGACATATATGGAGCTTTACAACATGTTCGAATCTACTTACCGCCTTGTCCCGACCTTCCGAGAAGTTTGGAACGCATTCGATTATCTTTGACATGTTCTAATTTGCTCTTTCTTGTTCACAATAAGTGCCTGGCAAAGCTCGCGTTGCCTGGCTTATACTAATGCGGTGTCTCGAATGTCTCTCGCTAACTGGAACTGGAGAAAATACTTATAAGGATAAGACTCCTGTTTCTACCCGCGTCCGGATCCATTACATATAGTTTTCGGTCATATATTGTTATAAAATTATTAAAAAACAGAACATGAAACGTATCACTCGAAATAAGTGCTAATAATTTGTATACTGTAAACAAATATAAAACGGCTGAATAACTGGATAAAATGCATAATATTACTTATTATAGTCGTGACGAAGTCACTATAACCACAGCATTCAAACGTTATCCAAGGTCAACTTCTCCATTGGTGGACGTATTATGCCTCGTACCGTGATTGGCGGACGAAGTACACACCCACCGGGCAGCAACCCACCAACAAACGTTATATGTTTAGCTCTGTCTCTGATTTATGAAGCATATATGAGAGTTTTGTATAATTAGCTAATGTAGATCTGACCAAATGTGAACTCAGCAAAACAACTGCTACGCGCCATTGTAAAAATACAGTGATTCTGAAACACAAATATAGTCTACAGTCTCTGTGGTGTAGTGGTAAGACACTCGCCTGGCGTTCCGCGAGCGCTTTGTCATGGGTTCGTATTCTGGGAGGATTTACTGGGCGCAAATCCTTAACTGTAGCCTCTGTTTAACGCAACAGTAAAATGTGTACTTAGTTGTAACAACGATTCTTCGCGGTGGGGATCGTATTCCAGGGACCTGCCCGAAACACTACGCGTACTAGTGGCCTCGACTGTACGTAATCTGGTACAACGTGTTCATACATATATAGACACTCATCACAAACAATAAACATAGTACTACATAGGGGTACCAACTCTGACAATGTTCGTAGGGACCCTCAGCTTCGATGAAGAGGATACGTAAGTGTAAGGTAAATGTAACTAAATGTAAGGTAATGAAAGAAGGGGGTAGGAAATAGGAGACCAGACACTGGATACAGAATGGGAGATGAAGTCCTTCACGAGACGGAAAGAGAGAAAGACCTAGGGCTTGATATTACACCATACCTGTCTCCTGAAGCCCACATCAAAAGAACAACATCGGCGGCGTATGCGAGGCTGGCTAACATCAGAACTGCCTTCAGAAACTTGTGTAAGGAATCTTTCAGAACCTTGTACACCACGGATGTAAGGCCAATCCTGGAGTATGCGGCCCCAGCATGGAGCCCGTACCTTGTCAAGCAGAAGACGAACCTGGAAAAAGCTCAGAGGTATGCCTCTAGGCTAGTCCCAGAACTAAGAGGAATGAGTTATGAGGAAAGGCTGAGGGAACTGCACCTCACGTCGCTGGAAGACAGAAGAGCTCGTGAAGATATCATCACCACATACAAGATTTCTCAGGGGAATTGACAGGGTAGACAAGGATGGATTACACGCACAAGGGGACACAGGTGGAAGCTGAGTACCATATTGAGTCACAGAGACATTAGAAAGAATTTTTTCAGTGTCAGAGTAGTTAGTAAATGGAATGCACTAGGAAGTGATGTAGTGGAGGCAGACTTCATACACAGTTTCAAATGTAGATATGATAGAGCCGAGTAGGCTCAGGTCGAATCTGTACACCTGTTTTTTTTTTTTTTCTACCACAGACGTGGCCACACATTTACAATGCTAACCAGCATATATACATTTTCTTCTGTCCTCCATGGACAGGGTTAGAGAAGTGTTAAACATATAGTTCAAGGGTTTATTGAACACTCAACCACAGAAGGTGATTCGGTGCTTTTAAAATGCTAAGCTAACCTACATACGTAAATACATAGATACACAGATTTACGTATGCCCTACATAAAGTGTTAAATGCGTCTTTTACATAGTGTCATTAATGTACATTCACAAAGGTGAAATGTAATTCTGATCAGCTTCCATATATACTTTATACCCATACATATACATACACACACACCTGTACACCTGTTGATTGACGGTTGAGAGGCGGGACCAAAGAGCCAAAGACCCCCGCAAGCACAACTAGGTGAGCCTTGTGGCTCCCATGTGCTTGTAGTCTACTGCGAATAAATTCTTTTGCTTGTTGTTGTGTATCGTGCACTCAGCTCTTAAAACTCTTGGGAACTCCATTGTATATGATACTAAATGAAATGATGAAGGTTTTCAAACCAACAAAATTTATCCTGCCTTAGTTATAATAATAATAATAATAATTTATTTAGGAACAGTACATAGTTGCGGCGTTACAGTACAAACATTCTGTTAGATTTAAAGATAGAGGTAGAACATACAATACCTAAAGCCACTAGTACGCATAGCGTTTCGGGCAAATGTAGTAGTTGAGTGGTGGATGTTGGTATTATGGCCGCGTGGGGCTTGGATGGCCTCGATTGATTGATGATTGATGAAGATTAAGCCACCCAAAAGGTGGCACGGGCATGAATAGCCCGTAAGTGGTGGCTCTTTTGAGCTATTACCAGTATCAAGAGCTGATACTGGAGATCTGTGGAGATGCGACTGCACCCTGCGTGACGGGAGATGTCTCCCCTGTGTGGATGACCTCTGTATACCTCTTTATATATGCTGGTGGCGCTTTGTTTATAATCTGTTGGCTTTCTGGTACAAAAAAATGGCTTCGTGATCTTCTCCAGAAGGTGGAAGATCAACATTATCTGAATGCAAGCCATGTACAATCCGTCTTCAGACCAAATCCATTACCATGAGAAATCACACCCCCCCTCCAACCTCCTCGATACTTATCTAGATATTTGTGATGGGCTGAAAGCATATAATGGTTCCAGTAATAGTCTACATGTAAACTGACAAATGAAGCTTTGTGTTAAAACAGATATTGTTAGGTTGTAACTTTAATGTAATAGAAATTGTTGGTTTAAAATATAAAACGTGAATGCTGAAAACGTTTTCTTTGAAGAATTTGGTTTTCTCTATTAACATAGAGAACATATTTAGTCTCCGTGGTGTAGTGGTAAGACACTCGCCTGGCGTTCCGCGAGCGCTATGTCATGGGTTCGTATCCTGGCCGGGGAGGATTTACTGGGCGCAATTCCTTAACTGTAGCCTCTGTTTAACGCAACAGTAAAATGTGTACTTGGATGAAAAAACGATCCTTCGCGGCGGGGGATCGTATTCCAGGGACCATAGGATTAAGGACTTGCCCGAAACGCTACGCGTGCTAGTGGCTGTACAAGAATGTAACAACTCTTGTATATATCTCAAAAAAAAAAAAAAAAAAAAAAAACATCGTACTGTCTAAAGTCGATTATGGCTGTTCCGCTTACCCGTCTGCCTCTCCATCGAATTTTGATTTGGAATTTATAGTTAGCGGAATAAAATTGTTGGGTAAAATAACAATGTAATACAATAACATTTGTATGAGGTTAATATTGTATTGCCGGGTGGGGGAGCGGAGCCCCCTAAACGTTAAACCACAGCAGGTCACAGGAGAGGAGTCCCCATGTGGTGTTTGGTGGTTGTTGTTATAGATTCAGCTACTCGGAACAAGTTCCAAGTAGCACGGGCTATGGTGAGCCCGTAGTGGACTTACCTGGCACAGGAGCGGTGCCCCTTGGTGCTTGGACCGTTACCCCCACTGTGGGCCCTGTTCCCTTTCATCACCATACATATTTTGTGAGTACAAATACATTTGGAATTTTTTGTTGATAGATTTGGATTTTTTTTTTTTTTGTTGGTGGCTTCTTTAACAGTGACATCTGCAAGGTCATTAAGAGCAACACTAATATGGCTAGAAATCCATAAAAATTTAACTTGTCTCACTAAAGTTAAAAAGAGGAACAGTCAGTTTTATATTTCTGCGCGTACTAGTGGCTTTACAAGAATGTAATTACTATGCTATGTATCCTCACAATCCCAATGTACCTTTTTGTATATATATATATAAATAAATAAATTTCAACCACCACTGGAGTGGATGGGTTATAAAGGTAGTGCCAAAGTCATCCATAACAACAAACGAGCAATGATGCATGACAAGTAATTAATATATGATACACAAAATTAAATGGCGCTCCACCATAACAATGTACATCAATGGGGGGTGGGTGACATGGGTAGGTTCCATCAGAAAAATAATGGAGTAGCTAGTAGACTTTGATCCATCCGTAAACAGAACATTAGCACATGAATATGTTAAATTTAAAGGCATTTCATGATTGTAAGAGAGGAAAGGGGGGAGGGGGTATATGTCTTCACCATGCCCCTTACAAAATTTAAGTGGGACCCTAACACACAGGTATGGAAGGTACACACATTGCATGATTCTCTCAGTACACGTCTACAAACAGGTTATCGTTGCAGTAAAATAATGTAATGGAGAGGGAATAGGGCACCCAATTTTTTGTAATTTTAATTATCAGGTGAAATTGCCAAGCCATTACCACTATATATAGGACTGGGAAGGGGGTCAGGATATCCATCCACAGATCCCAAGTACCAGCTATTGGTACTGCTAATGGCTCCAAAGGGCCTCCACTTACGGGCTATTCATGCCCGTGCCCCCTTTTGGGTGGCTTAATCTTTATCAATCAATCAATCAGTCAGGATAATTACGGGCTATTCATGCCCGTGCTACCTCTTGGGTGGCTTAATCTTTATCAATCGGTCAGGATAAGGATTTGGGATGGGGCTGGGGAAAGGAATGGTGCCCAATCACTTGGACAGTCGAGGATTGAGCGCCAACCGGAATGAAGATAGACCGTTGCTCTACCGTCCAGCCTAAAATACCCACCAATTAAGGTATACTTAAGAGTAAGGATAAAGAAAACTGAAATACGGTTCTGTACATATATTCTTAAAGCACCCTAATAAATATGCGCTCATTCCAAGCCGCACGAACACAATAAAGAGCATTTGGCAACATGAGTAAAATATAAAATAATATATCCCAAGACTGAAGGAGATTGTGATACAGCCAAAGCAATATATATGAGAGAGAAAATATAAAAGCAGCCTACAGTCACAATGATACAATTTAGAATTTTGGAATGTCATTCTCAAATGCCAATGATGCTGTTGACCAGACCACACACTAGAAAGTGAAGGGACGATGATGTTTCGGTCCGTCCTGGACCATTCTCACAATTGACTTGATAATGGTCCTGGACGGTCCGAAACGTCGTCGTCCCTTCACTTTCCAGTGTGTGGTTTGGTCAACATTTTCAGCCACGTTATTGTGACTCCTCGCCAGCCAATGATGCTGTTAGCAAGCTTTAATAAAGTGCAAATGTCCTTCTCCAGAATATATTCCAATGGTTCTTATAATGAAAAAACTCAAATTATTTAATAGGGAAAGTTTAACATTATGAAAAATAGCAAAAAGAAAATTTGTAAACACATTATTATAATGAATGATATGCATAATAAATAAATCCAATATTTCTTGAAAAATAATTGTTCAGAAGTATGTAAGACATCGTATACATATTTTAAGGCATTTTCAAGAGTGAAGGATATAGGACCTCACTGTCAAGCATAATACAGGAAGATAGACAAATGTTTATACAAAAACCTCAATTTCTTTTCAACGTGAGAAATAGTGTGCAGAATATTTTCAATAGTGTTAATAATGGCTACTAAATTTCAACCAAAAATTAAATTTAATAAATATCATTCTAGTATCTCTCTTGTCATATTTTTCCAGATTTTTTTTTCTGAAAAGTGTTCACAATTAAACATTATTTTAATGATAAAAAATGGGTCAAAAATAGGTCATTTTAGAATCAAATACTGTATAACATTTGAGCACTAGTAAATTCAAAATATCAAGGCAACATAGTCTTAAGCAAATATCAAGAGGTGCCGAGTTGGGAAGACTATGTAGCACCATTAACATTACAGGATATGCAAAAGGTGCTAAAGATACCGCCTTTTGCATAGTGTACTAAAGTATGAGAACAACAGGTACAAATTTCTGATGTTATAAGCAATTCTTAAAAGAAAAACACTAAGGAAGGAAGGCTATAAAGCATCAAATCACAGAATATTGAAAAGGCCGTAGACAGTGGTGTTCAGGGTGCTAATATGAGACCAGAAAGACCTCAGTTGAGTGACGTCAATCAAGATTCACTAGCTACTCATAAACCTAAAATACAATTACTCGAGTTGTGTACAAATGACAAATTTCCCTGAACATACAAATATTTATAAGCATTTCAATGTTCATTTTCATCATAAATAAATAAAACGTACATGGAAATGTGCACATATGATCGGTTTATGAACATAACTTACAAATACAGTATTCCAATATTCCATCAGGTAATTTGGATAGAATGAGAAAATACACAAAGGCAGAGTGATTATCGTTTTGAGTTACGAAGTGGTTAGCCCAGGTGGTTTTTGGGTGATCCTCTGATAAGCTCTGCCTACACTGTGCTCATGTATTTCAAGAGTTTCTTTTGAATGGTTAAATGATTTTCAGAGTCGTCGATTTTCAACGACTCTGAAAATCGACTTAGGTCAATTTTCAAATTGTTTGATCGGATAACATGTTTTTTAGTCATTAAAATATCTGCAGAAAACAACGATACTAGAATGTGTAGCATTAATATCCAAAATAAGAAAATGGTTGTATAGGGATCATGAAAATGCATACAGTTTTATCCTATTACCCCATATTGTTTAAATATCAATACTATATGATGATATATTTAATTTTTAATGTTTATAAACTTTCATTATAATATTAACTCTTTATTCTGAGGACTGCTGCTTCCCCCCTTCTCCTCATGGAAGTAGAAAATGGTGTAATGAAAATGAACAATAGTACATATTTTACACAGCTTGATATTTCTTGTTAATTTTAGCAAACAATTCAAAATGACACATGCCGATGGTTATGAAATACATACATCTTAACTTACCACAGCCAAATTATATTTATACATGTCTTTGATATCTTGCTTCTGGAAATTATCCAGCATTTAAGAGGCTAGGAGCTCCTTTAAAATCTTTTTCAGACATTTAATTTACCTTAAAATTATTTATGACACTGAAAAGAGTCAACACGATTTCTAAACAATTCTATCTAAGTTTTATCATCACAAGTAAACATGAAATAAAATAGCAGATAAAACAAGAATAATTATGTGTAGGTGGAAGTAATGTGGCAAATCTTAATTTTTCCCCGTACATACTGTATATAATTCCTAGAACTAAATTTTCCTGGTACAGTATTTGCAAAACAAAATTAAACCTGCTCTAATATTTCATGCAAGTGCTGCATCATGGTTTCTTTGATTTTGTTCATACTAAATCTGTCGACGAAATTCCTTCTTTTCCTCATTTTCCAATATACTATTCAGTATATTATGTATACAGTATTACTTTTGATTATGTATTTTACTTCCCGTTCGTTATATCTACTTGAGGCTAATTATAATACACTTGTGTGATAAACTCTGCAAGATGAAGTTATGTTAGAGGAATGTTTTAATTATTTTGAGTAATTATCAAATGAAAGCATCAAGCAAAGGGCTATATTACACCGTCTGCATCACAGAATATTCAAGTTTCTAGGAATCAATATCAGAGCAGAAAAATATAAGACGAGTGATGCCACAGGTATCAGTTTCACCAAGGATTTTATCAAGGGGGGCATACGACTCAAAATGCTTAAAGGTAAAAATTAAAGTTTAATTGTATTAAGTACTATGTGCTAAAAATGATGCAACATAAGCTTTGCCACATTGGTCATGTTATATTACAGTGCATCATATCAAGCATTTATGGTTTACACTGTATTTCATAGTAAAAATAGTTTAAAACCCTAGCAGGTCCCTTAAAACTAATATTATACAGTTTATCTGAAGATTTAGGAACTCACTTTGCTAAATGCACGGGTAAATGCCCTCACTAAAGAAAGGTCATTGATGTGGACCAGTGGCATGGCTATTCTAATCCCAGGCTACTGAAATTTAGTTTTAAGCTTACTTCATAACCATAATCTAAAGAAGAGCAAGACTATTGTCATTAACAAATAAACAAACTGAGAAAATAAGTAAAGCTTGCTTACAAATGAATGAAGATTGGTACCAACCAAGATGTTTCTTTTTATCCTATTGACACTAAAATGTTTATCCAATGCAATATTTTATTATGCCATACTAAATTCCCCAGGGCCAAAACTAACTTTACCCAAACTAATTTTTCTCTTGTAGCTCACTAAAGGCAAGAAAAAGAAGAAAGGGGGAGGGAGGCAGGAAATAAGTGGTGGTATCAGATTATAGTTCATGAGTTTTGCTTCTTGTTAAGTTCGTTAGTGGATAAATATTAATAAATGCACAAGAATGCATTCAAACCTTTTTAACGTTGATTAGTTAGTATAATTCATCTGACTAATAATTTGAATTATACTGCTTTGCATAAATATTGAACGATAAATATTCTTTTAATATAAGAAAAAAGCATGGAATGTCCTTCAGTACTTAAGAAGAAGAATAGAATAATATTGACAAATGTCAGAAGTGTCCAGGCTTACTTCGTTACTTTCTAATGGAAGAAGATTTGAGCAGCTTGCAAAGAAATTATTTATAAACATTTAAATACATGTGCACACTATTTCTCGGTTCAAAGAAAATTCACAGAGTTAATTAACCTCCATTTTCACATCATTTAAAAACAAATTGAATTACATAATGTTTACAATTTTGATTAGCTAAATACAATAGCTATTATAGCTTCTTTAATTTCACACACCTATGATACATAATAACATCTGAATATTTTGTCTGTAATATAATTCCTTTTTTTTTATATAAATTACTTAAATAAAGCTGGGCAGTGACAACATACCTGTACTTGTGATTTCAAGATTGAACCTCAGTGCAATGTGATTACGTGAATTACAGTAAAATCCAACTACTCTGAAGTCCACACACACACATACAAAAACAGTTAACCTTGAATATATTATTGAAAGGGAAATAATTCAGTTTTAATAATTAATTTATTGAGCATTAAATTAAGCACCTTTAGCTGTCAGATGCAAATGGTACTATTGTTAAGCACAAAATTTACCAATCAGTCTGCACCTATCAATGATAATCCTAAAGCATTAACCCTTGGAGTTCCCACAAGTTACATCAGGCTTTATCTGCAAGCACACAGAAAAACAGTATATTGTACAAAAAAGGTTTTAGTGTTCCTATATTATTGAAAACCATGCCCTGAGCATCAGAACAATGCCCCCAAAATTATAAATCACTTTTTCATAGATGTCAGATGTTTCCTGGAGGCTTTAAATACCAATTAGAAAAACCATGTACCAGTAGGAATTTAAAATGTTGCCATGCAGCTAAAACTTCTCAGGATGATATGCACACTAAGGATTAAAAACCCAAGAAATGGTATGTGCATTTTAAGAGATTAAAAGGCAGTATGACATAAAATTACCAATTTTGGAATGGCTATACAGTGATTCCAATTTTACTATGTACTGTATGCCAATTTAAAGAAGCCTAAATATGGTTGATTCAACTGAAAAGGAAACTATACTTTAAGTTGCATGTGAAATCTTACCAGAACAAGCTTGAATCTGAAGATAAAATTTTTGACACCAAGAAAGTTTCATAAAGGGGTCGGCCTACACACTCAGACATTGTGTGTTGATGAACAGCCCTTTTCATGTGCAGGACATTTGATTGGCCCTCAAGATGAGATCCTACTGGTTCCACAGCAGCTCATTTTAACAGTTTGACACTCTACAAAATAAAACTGATTTAGCTATCCAGAAATATTTGAACCTAAGCAACCTAACCCTTTGAGAATGAGTTTGAAAACTCATCAATTTGATGCAATTTTTAATTTCAACTGAAACACCTGCAATTTTGACAAATTAGTCATTCCATTAAAAATTTTTTTAATCAAGTCAGCAGATAGGTTGCTCACAGATAAAAACAATCAGGGCAAGTCAACATTCTGCACCGTAGCAACGGAGATTTTTCAGACATACTTTTGGTCTTAAGGCTAGTACTGTACTAGAGAGATGCTGAAGACTTTCAATCCATCCGATATTGACTACTAGAAGAGTACTGTACTTGTAAACATACTCAAGCCCGTCTAAGCACTAGATATCATCCAGAATGACAATACTGTACTAGACCAAAACAACATAAGATAAGCAATATAAAAGGAACCAGATTCATCAAGAGATATGTCAACTTACCCTGATTGTGCGAGATGTAATCCTTAAGATAATCAGGATTGCTTAGGGAGACACAGTGTGTGGTAACTTTGAAAACTGTAGGTTAAAAGCTTTTTTGTGAATAAAAAAAAATGATGATTACATTACAATTTAGGATTATTGCCTTCTGAATATTAGGAACATAATTACTTTGATTTCTGCTCATCATCTTAAACAGAATAAATCTTAGTAGTATTTTTACCAATACAATAAAATATTAAGGATTTCACAATGCAACAGCCTATTGAATACAAATAAGACTTAAATGACAGCACAAATTATTATGATAAGGAACTCAATATTTACAGAGAAATATCGGTTTGGTTAAGAATTAAGGATTCTTACCTATCACAATCATAAAAAGACATATGCAATTAAAATTATATTTCCCGTGCTCACTTGTGGCTCACTGCTTAATTTTCTCACTATAAAACGATCCATAGAGGTTTTTTTTTCCCTTCGTTGTAACATTTGTCTATAGTGAGGCATCACATTGTCATTAAAAAGGTTAATGCAACAGCCTACTACAGCTTGTTCTGGGAGAGTCGTTTCAACAAAAGTTTGCATTTCTTCCCACAGCCTACACCACTTCCCAATTGTTGAGGAAGGGACATTCTCTGCCTCCTCCTCCCCTGAAGACATTTCCTCAGCTGCCTCTTGTTGCTACTCCTTGTGGTCATTCTCACATGTGCTTTCTTGACTTGAACCTTACTACTGGCTTTCTTGGGACCCATGGCAAGGTATGTAATAACAAATTTTATGTTCAAATAGCCAAAAATAAAAAAAAACTATAATTCTTTACAAAGAATTCAGGCACGATTGTCACTAGGTGGGAGGCACTGGTAAACTGAGGCGCAATCGTCGTGCCACCATGCGCTACGTTGGCTATACGCGTATCAACAAACTCGTTTTCCCGAGGCAACGTTCGTTATCCGATTACAATTTTCCGAAGAAATTGGGCCCGTAACCCAAAAAGTTTATAAATACATAGAGGCATTCATAAGCTGAGGTGTCACTGTACTGTAATTTTAAATTTTGAGTGAGCCTGAGCTTCTGAGCCAGCCAGGTACAATGTCCTTAGCAAAAGTTGCTATTTTCACTCGATACCGCAGCCATTCACTCAATTTGCGACTTTATAAAAAATGCAACTGTTGCATAACTAGAAATGTACAAACTCAAGCAATTCACCTAACCTATTGAGGCCGCTGCATAGAAAACATCAGTACTGTATTATGAAATCGTACTTCCATGTTTATAAATACTCAACCTTTTTAACAGATTGGTTAAATACGTAAAAAATGACGTATTGAGAGAGTGGACTGGTTGAATGGCAATGGTTTGTTTCTTATCTTATAAAACACCCAAGTTTTTATTTGAGATAGTTTATTGGTTATTGGTTATCAAAATAAAGCTCATTTTTTCCCTCTTTCTTATAAGCCAATACATTAACATTAGTTAAAACCCTATTGTGCTTAGCAAAGTTAATTATGCATAAGGTTAGCAACTATCTCTGCACAGCAGTGGTATGACACTACTTGTCAGTACAGCAATAGGTTTAACAACTTCATCTTTTTTCTCACATATAACGAATTATAACGTATTTTATTTCTAAATACTAGTACTGTATAATATTTTCACGAGTGGTTGCAAGTGACATTTAAAATGTTAATATACCTTATTCATTTAAGCATACTCTAAATCCTTATTGATTTTAAGGATCATAATAAATTCTTGGTGAATATACATTAGAAATGTGGTCAACTGGAAGACTGGATGAACCAAAAGGATTGAATCAGGATACAAAAAACTTGTAAACCTTAACAAAATATCGACTTTTATATTAAAATAATATTTTTAAGCAATTTTGCTAAAACTATACACAAAACCAAGTTTTATCATTTGCTCTAATAAACCATAATAATTGCCACCAAAAATATCAAAGATTGTATACAATAGATTATTGTAAGCAACGGAACAGCTGAGTCACACAAGACAGTGAGGCAACATTCTTCCATCATTACTTTGACCCGTAAAGAGGCGGGGTAACAGCTGAACTGCTCTAGCTTTGCTCTTACTTATGGTGCACATCAATAGGTACCATAATTCACAAAAGATGTGGTTCTGAGGAATCCCCAAACCTTCACCTATACAGAAATTCTTGACATTCTAGCTGGAATCACCAACATTACACAGAGACATTGTTGACCGCAGCAGTGGAGCTCGACTCCTCTTCAGCAATGAGGAGGCTCTTCAGGGGGCTGTTCTTCCCCCACATCCAGGCTGCATTAGAGACAGCTAACCTGACCCCTGCTCCAACCAAGACTATGATAAACGGTTTGCGTTCGTTGTGTCAGCACCATCATCTCTGGCCTATTCCTGATGTTACTGCCAATATCAACCAGCAAAACCCAATCATCAAGACTGCAGTATCAGTGAAATCCATAAATCCATTCGGATGGCCGAGGAGATACCACTACCATGTAGTGTCAAAGAGACAGATCAGACTGAAGTTCAGAAAGAAAGAAATTACTGATATGATATAGAAACTGGCATTAATGCCCCCCCCCCCCCAAAAAAAAAAGTGATTCAGTATGGGATTTTTGTGTAAATTGTGAGTAGACAAGAGGCTAATGGCCAAGGAGTGTGAACCAAACTCATTCGTGTCTGACACCAGATTATCAATTATGGAAATATGAAGATCAAGACGAGTGCCATATCGGTTAAAAAAATTTCAACAATCCTGCAAATCTTTGTCCAGAAACACAGGTTAGGGGGTGTTAACATTGATGGTAGAGATAAAAGAGCAACAACTCTCGTGTCTAGCAGTATAAATGGCCCAATGAGAGATGACACTGGCTTTCTTAAAAAAAAATTAAGAATTCCATTGGTACGCAGACAGAACCGAAACTCCAAATTCCACCAAGGAACATATTTTCATAAGATATAGGAGGCATAGTGTGGGAAGGAGTGGACGGCAGCATTAAGAAAGGAGACCAAAAAGAGGGGTTCGAGGCAATGGACAAGCAGCAAGAGCATGCATAACATTCTTGAGAGGCAAAGATGCAGTAGTTGCTCCCCCTTGCCTTGGAAAAGGTGATCTTTTCTGTGTTTAAGTTGCAGGATGGATTGCTCTAATTTACAGGTAAGCTCAAAACCAAGACAAAGAAGGTTGGCTGCCACGGTAATTAACACAACATGCTGGTAGGGTTGTGCAAGGCATGATATTATGGCTGGACCCTTGCCACAAATAGGGAAAAGGCCATTGTGATCCTACAAGCCTAAGTACCAGGACAAACTTTTCAACATGTATCCCACTGACATGGAGAGGGGACATGCTCATGAACATTTGACCCTCTTCCCCGCCCCACGGACAACTGAATTCAGGAGGATTCTACTGTCGAATGTAATTTTAGCAACGTACAAGGATAACCAAAGAGGATAAGGAAGGAGCCTGGCTAGAAGCTGCTTGCAAGGATGGATAAACTTGTTTGCAAAGTGTGTTAAAATTTAGGAAGAATATTACACCTGGTGTTATGAAAAAGTAGTGTGCTGTTGTGGATGACTGATGGAGTATGTTGTTATTTATTTGTCTGTGGTGCTATAGTAGTGCGAATGATATCATGATTATTAAATTAATACTAAGAAACGTTAAAAAAATATATATGTAACATACTAGGGAAAAAGTCGTGCATCTTCTCACTTTTTTGGAAACTTACTGACATAAGACATTAATTGATAAGGCAATATTATTAATTTATTTTGAATACATTCCAATTCAATACTTTGAAAGTTGCAGATCAATATTTAGGTTCATTATGCTCCAAGACACATTATTGCAGTATATTACACACACTTATTCTTGTTTTGGCTCGTACTGAACTGATGCTATAATCCACAAAGTTAGTTTCCTAAAGCCAAGTAACAAGTAAAGAAACCCATGGGCTTTCAGTGACAAAATATACTGTACGTGTAAAGCACTTCCCTTTTTAATATTATTTGCATATTATTTTTTGTTAAATTTGGTACAAAAGTACAGTATCTTCAAAGGACAATTTGACATAATTCTATTTATACTCTTCAATTCTTCCCACAGTATTTAAACTAGTTTTCCCTAAGAATGTAAAGTATTTAAACTAATGTATAGGACTTCAATTAACCACTTATCCACTTACCATTTTCACGATGACTAGCAATGAAAAAGTTTCTCTTATCAATTAAAAGGCATAGTTCCAGTAACTTCATAAATGTATGAGAATCTCTCTTGAGTACCCAGTTCATCTTAGTGGCAGCCAATATGTACACATCTTAAAAAAATAACAAAAAACATTATCCAACCCATTGAAGTAAGCCTATCCAAGTTATCTCGCTGTGGTTCTTACATTTTTCACTTTACGGTATTGTACTGACAATGTCTATTAACGAGGGGCGTTCATAGATACCATGGAAAAGTTTTGTATGACAATGAATAGCAGATTGCACCTCACTTCCTCACTTCCACTGCTACAAGCTTCACTTCCACTGCCTCTTCCTACTCTATTCACCTACCTTTGTGTTTCTATACTCTTCACATAATTAATACATCCACACTATTTTACTCATAATAAAATCAGAATAATACAGAATTGAACACTGTTTAATGATGGGAATTATGAATAGGCAGTTCCTGTGGCGTAGTGGTAAGACGCTCGCCTGGCGTTCCGCGAGCGCTTTGACCTGGGTTTGTATCCCGGCCGGGGCGGATTTACTGGCTGCAAATCCTGAACTGTAGTCTCTGTTTACCCAACAGTAAAATGGGTACCTGGTTGTTAAACGATTTGGCGGGGTTGTATTCCAGGGAATATTAGGAATAAGGACTTGCTCGAAACACTATGCGTGCTAGTGGCTGTACAAGAATGTAAGAACTCTTGTGTATATATATATATAAAAAATACAAAAATAAAATAACCAAATTTTGCATCATATAACAAATGAGAATGGCACGGGGGGGCATGGGAGGCTAGCTGCTCCCTCCCACTGCCACCACCTACGACAACAATGAATTTACTTGCTTTCTTGACAATTAATGTTAAACCATCTTAAATAACATGAAAGACTGGAGAAATAGAATGTGTTAAATGTTAAAATCATAAGTAACACAAATTTTATGTTTATATATGATCTCCAGCCCCATATCTACAAAAGAACGACAGGAAGAAGTGTTGTTTGGTGGCGGCCTGCCGCCATCTGTGCTAATTACCATTAACCAGCCAACAGAAGAAAAAAATGACTAAACAAATCTAAGCTATCAAACCTTAAAATAAAAGATGATATAAATAGAATGCTTATTAACTAAGGAATCATAACCAAACTTATATATATATATACGTGTTGCAAATGATTTATCACCCAACTACTTCAGTGAGGAACTGTGGGTGGCCGACAGCATCATCAAGTCGCTAGCAAAAATAGGCAAATAAACTAAGTTATCTCCTTGAAATAATGTGAAAGTGGAAAAATTAAATGCCTATTTACATGAATCATAAATACCAGGAAAAATATTAATGTGTTGAATACAACTCCTTTGCCAATTTCTAGCCCCATCTTTAATACACCAGTAGTTGAGTTTACCAACAATCTGGAGGTAAGAATAACTTTGAATTAAAGTCATACTATAATAAGTTCTATTTCAGTCATCAGAACATTACAAACCAAAATCTGAATACAAATGTTAGGTTTGTAATAATGTTAAAAAGCGTGGTACAGTATTTCCTTTGTCAGAGCCATAGATTTATAACAAACATATTATATAATTTAGCATTGTGTTATTGGAAACATTAAGTGAACATCAATCATAAGGAGAAAATACTGACACCATACAATGGCATCAAACCGTAACCCTGAACTTAAGCCTGTGGAATTCAGGAATATAAGTTTGATCCCATTACATGGCTTCGATATTTTCTCAGAGATTCATCATATTCCAATAATTTCATTGTGCATCAATCATGATGGTCGAGAGGCACCCACCCATTGCAAATTTATAAAAAAAAGGGGGGGGGGGGAAAAGTAGTTTTACACGCAAAATTAATTAAGCCCTTCTGAGTAAGACTTCAGGGGGCATACACCAACCTCCCTTCAAAAAGCCAGCGTTGAATGTAATGAAACGGCATTTTCTGGGCGAGTCCCGGATGCTCCCCGGCAACTCTGGGGAACTGTAGGGGCTCCCCCCAGAAGAAGAAAAACTCCCAAGGATACTACCCTGCAAGGTTTGGTCCCAAATGGTAGAATAACCTAGAAATAGTTTGCACATCTGAATATATAAAGCCAGTTATAATAGTAAACAAAACCAGTATTAGTTTTAAGGCCTTCTGTAAACTGTAGCGGCTTAATTTATAAACAGGGAAGAACAGCATGTGAATTAAATGCATCAAATAAATGATACTGTATACCATATTTGAGTATTTACACAATGACTTATGTTTATGTAACATGTGGATATGTTTTCAAATAATGCATCACATTTCTCTGCCATCTCTTTCAACAAAAATAATGCAGTAAAATATACACCATTTTTTCAGAATAGTTGGATTATACTTCATTTTGCATTACCTAAACAACAAATTTATTAGGAGCTTCATTCTCAGAAATATTTAAAGTAACCTTCAAGCTTTTTTTTTTTACTTTCATCTTTAGTTGTACAAAGTAAAAAAGAAAAGCTTGTGTCAAGATTAGCTTTGAACAAAGCTAAACTAAAGCATGTAAACCAGACCACACACTAGAAGGTGAAGGGATGACGACGTTTCGGTCTGTCCTGGTCCATTCTCGCAATCGACTTGAGAATGGTCCTGGACAGACCAAAATGACGTCGTCCCTTCACCTTCTAGTGTGTGGTCTGGTCAACATACTTTAGCCACGTTATTGTGACTCATCGCCTGCATAAAGCATGTAAACTTATACACACGTAACAGCTGACATACACAGTCACCACCCATTACCTGAATCATACTTGGAAGCCACTGCCACCCAGGACCTAGTTATGTATCCACTGAGACGTGTATGCTAAACCTATCTATGATCCTCTTAACACCAATGCTAAGGCAGTCTTATAATATATCTTCTAAATTACTGTTAATAGTTAAATAAGATTTTTAACATTCTCATCTATGGAAAATAAAGACTATTTCTAAGTCTGCCTTTTTTGGAGGGCAAGTCTAAAAAACAATTGAATTACATCAAAACACTTGCATTCCTAATTGGATAAGCACATTTTTGATACAATATACTGTTCAAATAATGCATATTTGGCTACCTATAACCCCAAAAGTTTTATTACTTGAAAGATAAGCTACCTATTTTATTATATTGATTTTGTTGCATTTTGTCGAAATAATCAACAATTCAGCTTTTCATTGCCTATATCCCATTCTTCCACAGGGAAATAAACCTATGGTATAAAAATAATGCCGGGTAATTGTTTAGCTATTGGCAATCAACCTGACATTCTAACAATTTTCAAGGTTTGCAATAGTTTAGTAACACAGGTTACTTGAAGCAATGCTATCCCCTGAAAGTTAATCAGAACCAATTACCATCTGCATTTAAAGTAATTTATCAATGGATTGCCTTATCATAAAAATCATGCGTCGCTGACTCGGCTCTCTGTTATAAATAACATAAAATAATTTTGGAATAACTGTGACTAGTTCACCGAACTCTGCACCAAATTCACTGGGAAAGGTACCTCGTGTCATAAAATTCCATATATATTATCATTTGTCTTTAGAAACTATAAAAAGGATTCAAAAGATTAAATCTTATGAGTTGTTGGCAGTGTATACACTTAAGTTAAACATGAAGGATATTGTCACGGGTCAGTCAAAATGTGGAAAAAATATTATTGGTATTCATCAACGTAAATATGAGTCAATATTATGTCCATACCTGTTCTATATGATGATTTTCTTTCTTATACCAATAAGCATATATATATATACTGTATACAGTATACATTTATATATACATTGCAATCAATATACAGTATACACTCCTTATATCATCTTCAACTCTCACAATTACAAAAATCGGTATCACTAATTACCACATACTGTATATAACTATTAAAATCGTCTATATTTCTCCAGTGTTATGCCATCAAATCCATATCACTGTTTAGGCTTCAAGTAGCCTCCTCATTTTCAGATTCTCCACTGAGTCCAGTGTTCTCTCCGGTGACTCGGCAACGATGTAATATTGCTTTTTCATATGCCTTCTTCACGGCTTTTCTTTCTGCTGGTTTTCGGGACTCGACCAACTTGGCTTTATCTAAGGTAGAATCCACACCCAGGGGTTCCAACTTAAAACGTGGTAACCATTGCCTGAAAGATAAGTTGCACTATATAAGTATACAGTATCTTTATCTACATTGGAAGCAGAAAGGTCAACATAATGTCCCTCAAGCAATTTAGCAGAAACTTTCAAGTCTTTCTGTGAATCTATCAACTAATCCACCAAAAATAATACTGTAGTACAATACTTAGAGCAAGTATTGGTAGAATGGATAAAATTAGACTGTTGTACCAAAAATAGTTCATATTTTGTACCACAGTATATGAATACTCCAAATGGCATCCTAAAAAGTGGAACAGTAACTATACACCCTAACCTAACCTGTCCTAGGCCTAAATAAACAATTCTAGACCTAATCTAGGGGTTTGGGCAGTTGCCCCACCTCAACCAAGGGGCGGGAGTTTCAGCAACTCCCAAAACTTCTTGGTATGGTTAGTTTATATTAGCTCTTCAAGTTGTCTTCTCATTATCCCAATTTTGTGATTTAAAATGTGGCAATATCAATTTACCATCACACCATTATTAAACTACACTTTGATTTTGCACTACATATATATATATATATATATATATATATATATATATATATATGTCGTACTTAGTAGCCAGAACTCACTTCTCAGCCTACTATTCAAGGCCCGATTTGCCCAATAAGCCAAGTTTTCCTGAATTAATATATTTACTATAATTTTTTTCTTATGAAATCATAAAGCTACCCTTTTCACTATGTATGAGGTTATTTTTTTTTATTGAAGTTAAAATTAACGTAGATATATGACCGAACCTAACCAACCCTACCTAACCTAACCTAACCTATATATATAGGTAAGGTTAGGTTAGGTAGCCAAAAAAAGCTAGGTTAGGTTAGGTTAGGTATGTTAGGTAGACGAAAAAACATTAATTCATGAAAACTTGGCTTATTAGGCAAATCGGGCCTTGCATAGTAGGCTGAGAAGTGAGTTCTGGCTACTAGGTACGACATATATATATATATATATATATATATATATATATATATATATATATATATATATATATATATATATATATATATATATATATATATATATATATATATATATATATATATATATATATATATATATATATATATATATATATATATATATATATATATATATATATATATATATATATATATATATATATATATATATATATATATATATATATATATATATATATATATATATATATATATATATATATATATATATATATATATATATATATATATATATATATATATATATATATATATATATATATATATATATATATATATATATATATATATATATATATATATATATATATATATATATATATATATATATATATATATATATATATATATATATATATAATAACTTTCAATTTGTAAACTAAACTTTACTCACTATATATAAAAAATCTCAAGTCCAGCTATTATTGTAATGAGTTGAATAAGTTGTTATGGATAAAGTTTCTGATTCCAGTTCCAATAATTGAATACATCAGTTTCTCTTCAACAGAGATAAATGGTGTATTATCAATAGAGACAATGACTGACAATAGAGAAGAAACACTTACCAGGTCCGCTTGTTATCGAAGAAAAGAACTAGATACATTGGTGATGGGTAGTTGTTGGCTAGAGCAAGCACCTCATCTGGAGGCACAGGGATTGGTACACCATTGTGGAAGTAACCAGTCTTAGGCATTTTGGGGTTTATTATCTGAAACATTTGAGGACAATCAGGCATACAGAACATTAATGACTATGGTGTCGTAAACGTTGGTCGCGCATATTACACTTGGACTCTGCTGATGGGGTACGAAACGATGTCATTTGGGGAGGGGGGGGGGGATGACGGCAAGATTACAGCACAAATTTGTAGGGAGGTTTTGAAGATACTGTAGTTGTGGTTTTCTGGTACCAGTATATATATGTTTTAGTTTTGATGTAGTAGAATGAAGACAATATTGATGGAGAATACAGAATAAACTACTCTTCCACCAACTGAAGGCTTAGAAACTACAATAGTTCAGGGGGAAAACTAAGTTGAGGACATATTTAAGATAGCATGGTTTTAATAGTTTACACTGATAATGGTAGGTAAAGTGGACCAAGTTATAGCAAACTTAAGTATGTATGTATGTGCAAAGTTAGCTGGTGACCAAGGACAAAATACTAATGAGGAGTCATCTAGTCTAGATAGCCACTGTAATGTAAATCCAAAAAATGGATAAAAGTCTATTATGCATTAATGAAAATAAAATACATATCTGAGCAAAGGAAGAGTAAACTTAACTCTGCTAAAACATATGGGATCTTGTAACTGATACAGTCACAGTCGTGTTGTCCGATCAGTTCGGGACAAATTGTTATCGTGAAAGTCAAATTGACAAGACATACAGATTTTTCCTCCCAGTCATGAATATTGTTTATTTTGTCTGAAAATACATCACAATACTGTACAGTTTCACTGAATACTGTAAAATGAAGAGATCATAATGATGTACACAATGAATGACAGTTCAGTAAAATGGTGAATTGTAAAACACAGTACAGTATGTTTATTTGTTGATTACCTGCTGATGATTTTGCGTTGCTCTACTCCAGCAACTTGACCTATGGCTAGCCTTCCCATGGCGATTGACTGGCATGTGAGGCTGCTTTCGTTGCTCAAAGGCCCACATAGCCATCACAACCAGGATGATCCAGTAACCCAGCATTAACTTGCTAGTTTTAACTTGAAAGCTTCCACTGCTGTTCCAGCTACACTTATTATATTTGTTGAAGGGGGATTAAAAAGTAGTGGGTTTCTGATGCTAAGTGTTCTCTAATTGAGCTTAATTAAGGAACCCCAACTTTTTCTTAAATTTATTTTACGTTTACTACCATATCTCTCACTCTAGCATGATGTATTTTTTTAGGTTTGGAACCTGACCTTTTAGTATATACTATGTACATATGATTTCTCATTCTCGTCTTCGCTCCAATGAATAGAGTATAAGTGCTTTCAGTTGGTGCCAGCAGAGGCACACCGTACATTTTCCAGTTCTGCAATCTTGCTTGCCTTGAAAGAGGATGTGAGGACCAAAGAACATTCCACACAATATAGCACCAGTGCTCTGAGAGATACCATCATTGGTGTGGCATCGTTTGTTCTACATGTTTTCATTAACCATGCTATTATTTTCTTGGCAGTTGCTATGCTTTCTTTATTGTACTCTGGACACTCTGTATTGACACAGACTGACTCATAGAGGAATACCTGACAATTAGGGATACTAGGTTAATAGATCAAGGGATGGTCAGCTCACTAATACATCGTACTGGTACAATTAACATCCAAGGGGTTGATAGTTCACACATTACTTGTTAAATTCTTTAGATGGATAGCCCTAACTATGGTTCCCTAGTAGAGGTAAATGAATTGATGATTGTGGCAAAGACAAGTACTTACATTCACAGTTTCACTCAATCTGAGGAAACTTGATGTTTGTCCCCAGAGGTGCCGTACACACACAAAACCTGTGTGAGGTTCTTTGGCATCTTTTAATTTAAATCAGTAATCACAAGTGGATTAACAAGTCATACATCTATTTGTTCCTCAGGATTATCTGTGATAAAATCTTTATTGAGTTCTGGGGGACGTTAGGCCTATTCCTTTAACAGTGGAAAGAAGTTTTGCTTTAATTTGTTTTAGCAGTCATTTTTGTTTTCACCTTATTATTCAAAGTCTACACTGTTGTCAATCCTGGGGAAAAGACCCATTGCAAGTGTTGACCAGACCACACACTAGAAGGTTGTAGCGAGTAGATTATCCCAATAATATACTCGTTCCAAATGCTTTGTTAATATTCCTGTCAACCTTTGGAGATGAATGAGGTGAGGCGTTGCCCGGGCAACACGGTGAGGTGTTGCCCGAGCATATAAGCAGCAGAATAGCAAACATTAACCAGAGTCTACTTTCAAGTGTGGTCTAGAGCAGACACTTGCGAGATACTGTACCGACGCTCAGTGCGCCCAACTCACACCAAAGTATCACCTGTGTACTTCTGTATATTAGACCAAATATATATATAGTATCTTAGTGTCTGTGTTTATTGTCACCATACTTTACGTAACAATAAAACCGTTACAAGGTGAAGGGACGACGATGTTTCGGTCTGTCCTGCACCATTCTCGAATCGACTTAAGAATGGTCTAGGACAGACCGAAACATTGTCGCCCCTTCACCTTCTAGTATGTTTGTGGTCTGGTCAACATTCTTCAGCCACGTTATTGTGACTCATCGCCTGCACCAGTTGCAAGTCGTCGTCATTCATTCCAATCACGTTTCAAGGCTGACTTGCCATGCAAGTGCAATGCTCCATATACAATAGTTGGCTTTACTTGAAGGCTTTCATGAATTTCTTGAAATTATAATGCCTCTGCTCTTTTAGTTATAACAGAGCCTCTATGGTGTTTGCATGTGTATTCAAGTGTACTCGGGAGGTGTAGAGAAGAGAGAGCAGAGCAAAGTGGTACGCTAGGTTACTGTTATCTAGTCGTAATGGCTTAGTGCTCTCTCCTTATAATTACCTACCTGAGCCAGGTTAAAAGTATAAGGTTTAAGCCAGATGACCTCTGCATGTGTACTAAAGTAGTCAGTATTAATAACCTGTCATTAATGGCCAGGGTGACCTGTTTTCAAAAAATTCTGGCCTGGACACTCGTAAATGTCTGTCAAACAGTGTATTGGCATTGGCTAAGTTCATAACAGGTAGGCCTAAGATGTTTGTAACTCTATAAACTGAACTGTCAGCTTAAAAATTTATCATAAATTTATTTTCTTGGGTTTGCTGCCTTTATTTAATGTGTCATATTTTTCAATGGGAAAACAAAACGGCATAGAAGTTGCGTAAAACTAGCAGCTGAGACAGCGTAACAGCCACAAAGGTTACACTGCAGCATTTCGGTCGCAGGCCATACAACTACTCACCCATCCCACCTCAAGTCAGGAGACAAGAGGTGGACCAATCGGACCCCTCAGACAGACTTATCTATCATATGGTGGTCGGACAACACGACGGTGAGTGTAAGTACATTTGCTAAAGTAGGTTTGCAGTTTAGGTCTGAAATGGAAAACAAAGTAATATATCCTGCTCAAATCCTAAGTGATTTAACATACTCCAGATATGGGAACGCAGAGAACAGTATTTGATAGTAATTGCACGATGGACTTATTCATTAAAAAGAATGAAGAATGTATTCTGGGAAAGAAGTCACAAAGTTAAATACATGTACAGTAATCTAAGACAGAAGTCAAACAAATTATATATAAATTGATTTTGTGGTAGAAGTTAAGCAATTAAATTGATATAGAGTACAGTATTCTGAGAAAAATGTTAGAAAATTAAAGATACATTTTAAGATAGAAGACTGTAATCCCTCTATTTACGTTCAGAATTTATTCTTGAAAATACTTTAGAAGACTGTAATCCCTCTATTTACATTCAGAATTTATTCTTGAAAATACTAACTAAAACCTAACATGACATAAATTAAAACTTATTTTTTCTTCCATATGTATCAATTGTGAAGAGAGATGTATTCCTCAGACGAACACTTATGTCCAAAATCAATGAAATAAACATGACAGCATACAGTATTAATTCCATGCGTTCGTTCTTGCTAGATATAGCAGTGAATGTGTGTATAATTACCAAACTGTAATTACAAAAGTGTATTTACAGGATGAGAGCTATGCTCGTAGTGTTCCATCTTCCCAGTACAGAATTTTTTGTTATACCTGTATGACGTTATATTCGAAACTCCTCACTTAACTTGTTCCAATCATCTACCACTCTACTTGCAAAAGAAAACTTTCTATTATAATTTCAGCAACGTTATTTCCTTAGCCTGAATCTATGATCTCTTGTTCTTGAAGTTGCAGGTTTCAAGAATTCCTTTTTGTCAATTTTGTCGATTCCTATTACTATGTTATATGTAGCGATCATATTGCCTCTTTTTCTTCTATTTTCTAGCTTGGCATATTTAACACCTCTAGCCTTTCCTCATGGCTTCCAGAACTAAAAAAACAAGAGCCATTTCATAGCATGTCTGCACCTTTTTCTATTTATTTATGTGATTCTTGAGATATGGGCACTATACAACGGCTACATATTCCAGTTTTGGTCTCTCAAAGGTTGTGTACAGTTTCTTTAATGTTTCACCATCCATGTACATAAAAGCGATTCTAAAGTTGGAAAGCATAGCATATGCTCCTCGCACAAAGTCCTTAAAATGGTACTCTGGTAATATTCTACAATCCAGATCCACCCCCCTAGTTTTCTTTCTTTGTCAGAGTTCTTTCATTCCTTTCCACATAATCTGTAGGTTGTGTGTGGACTATTTTCTCTTATTCCACATCCCATAATATAGGATTTATTTACATATAATTCTATTTGCTAAGTGCTGCCCTATAAACTTAATTTGTTCAGGCCATCTTGAAGGGCCTAACAATCACCTAAGTCTCCTTGATTATCGCCCTGATCATTCTGTCAAAAAAAATTTCATCCATATCAACAGTCTGCCAGTCACCCTGTCCAGTATATTCCAGTTTCCAGTACAACCTTTTTGTGTGCGACTTTATCAGACGCCTTTATTAGGTCCAAATAAACAGACCACCCAACCATTTCTTTTCTGTAAAATCTCATGGCTTTAATCATAAAAACTACCCAGTTAGTAGATTTGTTATACAGTATCTTCTTTTTTGAAAGGCATACTATCAGTCTGTTATTGTATCATTTCTTTCCAGGTATTCAACCTATTTGTGTATACCTGCATTGTGGCTTGATGTGGGGTTGGGGGTGGGGGGGCCGGTGATGTTATTTGAATAGTTACTGAAATAAAGATACAGGACAGACTTTTCATTTGAGTGAGAAATAGGGACACATTTTTCGTGGCTATTTCCTAAACCTTGAGGTGGTTGGGACTGGTTCATTTTTTCTGAGCATTTTCCCCCATTTTCTTTTCTTCCTATTTGACAAATTTGTCTCTATCATGGCAACGCTCCTGTATTTTAAATTCACGGCTTCATTCCAACAATCACACTTCCGTGTCATCCTCATCATCTTGGCTATGCAAGCCACTCACTCCATTCAGCTACGTAAGCTTCATCAATGTCTATACATCCAGTGTTTTTAAATAATTTATATTTCGTTTCAACTTTTGGAAATTTATATTTAGAAAAGGACGGCAAAATAGGACTTAAGGGCTGTAACTCAAAAAGTGGGCATATAAAGTCACTGGATATAAATCAAAATTATGTAAATCGGAAGGACATAAATAAAGGGATGACAGTATACAAATCTGCAAAAATCTACAAAAGAATTATGTATAACCGAAGGTAGCATAAACTGATGAGGAATATTGGCAAATGAGGAAATGTAGGAAAATGATATGAAGTGATTATGGATGTGTACTTTGGTGAAAAGTTTAAGTTGTAGAGTGCATAAAATGGAAGGACAGTGAAATACAAAATTGTACATTTATACTGGGTGTGAAATTATGACTTGTTTCAAGGTTCTGCTTTGTTCCAATAGAAAATTGTTTCCTAACCATTTATTTTTTTTCAATTCAAATGCTTCAAATCCTTCTAGGGGGGAAAAGATTGGGATTGTTAGAGAATTTGTACAGCTTAGTTATGCCCCATTTCCATTACTGTTATGTTTCTCTCCATTAGAGGAAGACACAGGCAACTGAAGGCCAATAGTTATCTAACCGCCAAAATAATGTCACCTGTCTACTGAAGAGATAGTGGGAGGGAGTTCCATAGAGCCTGGTGTTGTTTGTGGAATGAATGAACTGTGTGCAGAGGACCTGCAATGTGGCAGTTAAACAGCAAAGAGTGCACCCTGACAAGCTTCTGTGGACCTCAAATATGTGTGTGAAGCAGCATAGCAACAATGCAAAACTCATCAGGACACTTGCCACTAAAACACCTAAAGAAGGGAAAGTGTGTGAAGAAGTGTCTCAATGCAAGTGTAAAGATGGAAAAGTTATCAATCATTTTACCATTAATTATTCTAAATGCTTACTTTTGGACAGTGTAGAGTTGACTAAGTGCTTCCCTACTGCTCATCCTCCTGTAATTTTAAGAAGTGAATATCTATCTCCCTACATCTTGGATTCCTTGTTTCCTCAGGAAACTCCCCTTACTTGAGGGGGTGCCCCATACAGAATCTTCCCCAGACACTTCAATTGCCTTTATGTGTTAAGATATTTGAAAGAGCATTTGAAATGTTTGTACAAGATTTCTGCATGCTACCTTGGCTATCCCAAAAGTGAAGCAGTCGAGACATGCTTGCACCGAGAAACAAGAACATGAATTTTTCTTTTAGGAAATACAATTTTTTATCATTTTTGAGGCATTATTAGAGAACATGGTGCATAAAGATATTTAAATGTAAATCCATGAAATGGCTCCATGCTTTCAGACTGAAGGACTAAAATGAAAGAGGTGCTGTTTATGAATCCAGTGACTAATCTACCATGTATCTGAGTTTGGCACAGTAGTTGTCATATATTACAACATAATCTATGCATCACTTCAAATAGTAAAACCTCTCTAAACTGGCCACAAATTTCAGCTTTGTACAGACTTTTTCCCTTTTTAAATTTAACCTTTTAAAAACAATTAAAAAACTTGGGTTCCAGAGGTGGCTGGTTTAGAGAAATTTCTCAGTGTTTTCTTTCCATACATGTTATATTTCAGGCATTAGAAAGTAAGGGAGAAACATGGATACTGCACATATACTGGTATGTGAGAACTTTTTATCATCAAAGGATAACTTGTATATTCTCACCAAAGCAGGATACCAAGGGTAGCCACGACACTTGGCCCACACTAAATCGAGAGGCTCCAAAGGTATCTGATCTCCAGTGTGGCCTGAACCAGGCGATTCACCCTCAATGCTCGAATCACTCCCACTTCCTCCTCCATCCGAATCTGTTTCAGAGGCAGTATCATCTTCGGTGTCTGTCAGGCTGGAGTTTGACTCAGAATGGGAATCTTCATCTGTTTCAGGAGGAATTTCTGTTGAAGACAAAAATTATGAAACAGTACTTTCAAGATTTGAATAAGCCAAAAGGTCCTCAAAGTTTTTGTGGGTTTTCTAAATGTCTAAAATTTTATTCCAAATCTTTTTAAAGTGTGCAAACACTGAATTTGTGACCATTTATAATCAAAATTCTTGTTTTCTTTATTCTCTAGTGCAATTTATTCTCTATTCTCTAGCATGCCAGGACATGCAAAATAGCCCCACTGAAGAGCAGAGGTGCAATAGGCACGCTGAGAGAGAACTCGAACAACATTAAAAACCCAAGATGTTTCAACACTCTTCCCCTACCCAAACGGGGCATAACTGGTCGACTTCTCGCAGAGTTCAAAATAGAACTCGACAAATACCTTCAAGGAATACCCGATCAACCGGGCTGTGACTAACACGTCAGGTTGCGAGCAGCCACACCGAACAGCCTGGTTGGTCAGACTAGCAACCAAGAGGCCTGGTCAGAGACCGGACCACGGGGACATTGATCCTCAAAATCTCCAACAAGTAATACAAGCAATTGTTTTAACCAAATCATGTATATATTTATTTTTGAGCATCTCTTTGCTGTTTAACCCTTTATGTCATTAAACCACATCCTGTTCAATCTTGAGTTATCTTGAGATGATTTCGGAGCTTTAGTGTCCCCGCGGCCCGGTCCTTGACCAGGCCTCCACCCCCAGGAAGCAGCCCGTGACAGCTGACTAACACCCAGGTACCTATTTTACTGCTAGGTAACAGGGGCATAGGGTGAAAGAAACTCTGCCCATTGTTTCGCGCCGGCACCCAGGATCGAACCCGGGACCACAGTATCAAGTCCAGTGTGCTGTCCGCTCAGCCGACCGGCTCCCGGCTCAACTTATAAACAGCAGGCCTGGCTGATAATTTGAAACAAGTGACTTGTATAACTATAGTAGTGCAATAGCAGCTGCCTAATAAAACATATCCAAGTCCCCCAAAGTGCCTATTAATAAACAGTAAAAAAGGTTACCAAACAAATACACCATCATTTTGGTACCTTGATTGTATCTTGATGGGGTTGTGGGAGCTCTTGTACTCCCCAAGCCTGGCCGGGGGCCCGGCTTGACTTGTGAGACTTTGGTCCAATGTGCTGTTGCTTGCAGCGGCCCCACAGGCCCAAATTTGGTAACTTTAATTCAATATTTAATTGCCATCCAACAAGTCTCATAAGGTAAGTCATAAACGGCCATTTTGTGCTGCTCTTCATATGTAAATGGAGATGTCAAAGCAGCAGTTCCATATTCCAAGCTTCATGACATCTCTATGCCCCCCGTTAATTTAAATTTTCATAAAATTCCTTACGACTCCAAGAAGGGTATGGCTCGGTCTTGTGTTGATGACACCATGAGATTAAGTTGTAGCCCTCGATGGCTGTACAACACGATGCTGTGATACTTCAATGGGCAAGGGGTATAAAACGGTGGCCTATGGGAATGTATTACAAAGTGGATAATTGCAGAGTCCTTCAAGAAACACCAGTTGAACCACTAAAATTTTAATCAACAATGCTAACAACCAATGCAGTTCATTTTTACAGGGGTTCTAAATTCGACCATCACGAGATTAACGTCTTGATTCAATTAATGCCACGGGGATTTTTATATTTTAGTGGATGGTTCCAAATAGCCATTTTTATTATTTAAGTATTGACAGTATTACATTAATTTTATACCATAATTTTTTTTAATATTTATAATTATGTGATTATTTTATTCTGTAATTTTTTATGGATAAAAAATAACCAGCAGCGAGAACAATAGAATTATGTCAAATAAGTAATTTGCTAAGAACCTAATGAACAAGTTTTATAAATAATTTTTCCTGTTAGAAATGGGTAATACAGGTATAAAATATACATTATGATGGATGGTGATACAAAGAATATAAATCACTGTTCAAAGGATGGAGCAAATAACTATGGAACTCACAAATTTCAGACATGAAATAATTATGATATCTGGGTCTGTATTGGACCATTATCAAAATGTTTTAATGGTCTCAGAAGAACTGAAATATTGTCACATTTTCACATCTCTAGTGCGCACGTTTGGTGTTTATGTACATGATATTAAACTATATCCTCATGGGGTAGCTCATTCAGATGCTTCAAAGTATATAGTACTGTATATAGTATATAGTACTGTACCATATAGTATGTGTATATAGTATGTGTATATAGTATACTGTACATGTGTATATAGTATACTGTACTGTACAGTATATAGTACTGTACCATCTTTATATTGTTGTGGTGAATTCTCTCTTGTTTACAAAATGGAAGTTAAGAAATCATTCTGTAATTTCAGATGTTTAAAGTGGCTAATGAGATCCAAGTTGTGAACATGTGTTAATTACATCCGGGAGGAGGAGGAGGAGTATTGACTTGGTACCAAGGCACTCGGCTTCCTATCCAGTACAGTACTGCTGCTTGGGACAGCTTTCTATAATCGGCTACGTGTTGACCAGAAATTTGATGATCCAGCTAACACTAAAAGTGACCGACTTTTGCAACATAATTATTATACTTGAGGGGTTTATACACTAGAAGCAAAGTCTTTATCCTTCAGCCTTTTAAATGTATATATACATAATTCTTAATAATTTAAGGAACATGACATGCTCTGCAGTCATATTTAGACAATAATGTGTGCGCATGGAATTTAATGTTCCGTACTAAGCATTATAGATGGGGAATGGTAAGATAATGGTGAACTTTTACTACAAATTTAACCCCTCTGTGAGGTAAAAATGTTCACTGTCAATGTTTCACACTGTCAAATGTGACCAAAGAGCCAAAGCTCGACCCCCACAAGCACAATTAGGCGAGTACACTATTATCTTCAGAGGTTCATATTTCCAGAGGACACAGGCTTAATAGATGGTTCCTGCTGAGAATGTTCTCTTTTGGTAGACGAGATCATCTTGTAGTTCAGTGATTAGTGCAGTCAGCTCTCAACCGAAAGGTCCTGGGCTCAATTCCCATCCAGGACGAGACATTTTGTCACGTTTCCTTACACCTCATGCTGCTGTTCACCTAGCAGAAAATCGGTACCTAGGTTTAGGTAACTGTTGTGGTTTGCGAACTGGGGAAGGTCAGGTGCTAACCTCTAGAATGGGGAACATTTTATCACACGTTTTTAACCTGTGTTCAAGTAGGTCTATAAACCTAACACACTCTATGAGCTAATGTCCATTGCATTTACATTACCCTGCGTGTGTCACTCTCATATTTCTAAATGGCCCATCGATGAACACCTTAAAGATTATAAAATTATATAAATTAAACTCCTTGTCAAAAACATTAACACAAGGGATGCACTTCTGTAGAAATTTCCATAAAGAAATAATTATAGTTATGGAAATAATGATCTGAAACCTTTTCTGAAAAATAAGCCTAGATTAGAGAAACCCAACTCTTAAAAATATTGGACTACTGTATATACAGGCGATGAGTCACAATAACGTGGCTAAAGTATATTGACCAGACCACACACTAGAAGGTGAAGGGACGACGACGTTTCGGTCCATCCTGGACCATTCTCAAGTTGATTGTGATGAGGAAGATTGATTGATTGATAAAGATTAAGCCACCCAAGAGGTGGCACGGGCATGAATAGCCCGTAAGTGGTGGCCCTTTTGAGCCATTACCAGTATCAAGAGCTGATACTGGAGATCTGTGGAGGTGCGACTGCACCCTGCGTGATGTGATGATTAAGTAGATGCGGGCAATAGACAAGAGAGAAGTGAGGAGCAAGGTAAGGTGTAGTACACCTTACTGTGTGTAGTACACACCTTACCTTGCTCCTCACCTCTCTCTTGCCTATTTATTGCCTGCATCTACTTCATCACGTCACACAGGGTGCAGTCGCACCTCCACAGATCTCCAGTATCATCTATTGATACTGGAAATGGCTCAAAAGGGCCACCATTTATGGGCTATTCATGCCTGTGCTTCCTTTTGGGTGGCTTAATCTTCATCAATCTTCCTCATCACAATCGACTTGAGAATGGTCCAGGACGGGCCGAAACGTCGTCGTCCCTTCACCTTCTAGTGTGTGGTCTGGTCAACATACTATATATATATATATATTTTTGTCTCGTCTCTTTGTATCACTGGTAGTGTTATTCTTGGTACGTACTAGAATTATTTTATCCACGTAATTTTTACAGAAAACCAAGAGTTACAAGTCCAAATGTTTACCCTGTCCTTGCAATTATCTCCTGTGTCTGAATCATCAAATGTGATGTTTTAGTTTTGTGAACCATTGTTTTCACCATTCAAACCAGTGTAGAAACTTTTAATTAGTTGAATCATTTAAGGGTCAATGCATCGCTATTTTGATGGTTTCACCCATAGGATAAAAAATCTGGTGCTTTAGTGACTTTAAAACCACTGTAATGTGGGTTCTTTCTCAGACTAATGAGCAGTGGCCTAAACAAACTAAGTGGGTTGCTTAGTATCTCCACAAACGATTTACGAATGATGTCTAGGCTGAGTTGGGTAGGTTTCTGTAGGGTAGGGTAAGGTAGGTTGGTTTAAGTTAGGTTGGATTAGGTAGAATTTTGCTGCACAATCTTCTCAAATATGGACAGACATTTCTTCTACATCAGCTGATTTGTCAAACATCACTATACACACACAACTTTAAAATGTTCATTTCCTTATGTAAATGCTTTGCCATCTCATGGTTCTGCCACCCTACCACTGGTATCTTTGTTTCATTTCTCACATTTGCTTGTATCACTACTGAAACATCAACACTTTTAAATTTTGTCAGGCTAACTGGCTTCTCTTCTGCATTGAAACATCACACTATCAACATACCAAGCAAGGATCTTAAGACTTCAAAATATAAAAAGAAGAGTTCTTTTGCCAACTATATATTTTTCTACACAAGCATACCAGGAATGCCAGATTGCACTTTTCATACAAGGTTTACTTTCTGTTTAAAAGTCACATGTTTCC